GATAGAGCGATAGAGGTAGTATCCCTAGCGCTAGGTACGTTAGAGGCGGAAATAAAGGAGTAGAGGAGTAGGACTTACTTAGGTATAAGGCCCTATCGCTTAAGGGCGCGGAGGTTATAGTAGGCGGCGGCGGCGGCGGTAAGGCGCTTCTTAGTAGCCCCTCGCGCCTACCTATATAAGCCGGCCTTCTAAGCTAACGCCATAGCGAGTAGGATAGGAGGCGCCGCCTTATAAGCGCGGCCGGCTCGCGTATACTAGTAGTAGCTGCCGCCGCGGCGGCGCCCGGCTTAGTCGGAGTAGTCGAGCTCCTATAACGTATAACGTATATAGGGGGCCGAGCGGGCGGCGCCGGCTTATACTTAGCGCTTATATTATAGGAGGTTAGCGGATAACGTCTATTACGCTTACCTAACTATAGACTTATAGGGGTAGCGGAGATAGAGGCGGGGGCTAAGGGGCCGGGCGTTATAGGTAGCGGCGGGGACGGCGTTATTACCCTAAGGGGCGATATAAGAGCGAATAGCGTAGTAGAGGCGGCGGCGGCGGCGGTAGGAGCGGTAGTAGCGGCGCGGGCAGGAGCGGCGGTAGCGGCGGAGTCGTTGTCGGCCGCGGCTAGTATAGCGTCGACGAACGACTCTATACGCTCTAAGAAGGAGAAGGTAGGAGAGGGAGAAGCGGATATATCTATCGCGGAAGTTAGTATAATAGAATACGGCCTCTTACTCTATAAGGCGCGGAACTTATTAATTAAAGTTATTATTATTATTAGGGCTATTATTACTACTACTACTATTACTATAAGTATACGTTAATAGAGCGGCCTATATAGCTAGGAATAGACTAATACCTTAAGTAAAATAGAACTTACTTATTAATACTACTACTATAGTTAAAGAAAGGAGAGAAAGAAAGGAAGGGGGAAAAAGGGGATACTACCTTATATACCCCTTAGTAGAGGATACTACCTAAGGTAGAGGGGACGGGTAACCTAAGGCTTACGTAGGTCTAGATTAGCCGCCGGCTACTTAAGGGCGTATATAATAGGTTACGCCCTTATTTAAATAGCTAGCCGGCCAATAAGTATAGAGCTAGGTCCTAGCTGCCTAGGCTAACGGGCGCGGGGATAATAAGGCTAGTAGGGCCGGCCCTATTAATAGGAAAGGGTAGGGAAGAGCCCGCGGTATAGGCCTAATTATATAGGAGCCGTTAATAGGGTAGCGCTACGCCGCGCTTAAGAGAGGGTATTATATAAGAGTCTTTAACTATTATAGGTAATAGGCTTAGGCCGCGGCTTAAGCTATATAGTTATATATAGAGGGCCGGATCCTATAAGTATAAGGGCGGGCTAGCTACGTATAGAAGAGCTCTATATAGCTTATTAATATTATCTTATAAACGGCACCTATATATATACCTCTACCTACTCCGTAATACCTACCTAAGATCTAATAGGTTTTTTATCTTCTATATATACTATAGCGAGCGTAAGACCTTACTTAGGGCTTTAACTAAGTAATATCTTAACCTTATAATCGTATAATAATAGTATAGCGTATTAGTAGCTTTCTTAGTATATTCCCTAAGTATATATAGGTATTTCTTTATAATTTCCCTGCTATATTCTTATAGTAACTTCTTAGGGAAATATTAGTATAATCCCTTAAGGAGCTATTATTACTTAGGAAATTATAGTATATTCCCTATATAATATATCCTTAAGGGAAATCTCTATAAAATATCTATATAATCCGCTTAGTTATTATTTCCGGGATTTCTAGGTAATTTCCTAGAGTTTACTTAGTAGTTTCTAGGTTCCTTCTTCCGTAAAGAGCCTTAGTAAGTTAGGGGTAACTTCCTTAAGGGAAGCCGATATCGTTATAGGTACCTAGATTATCGACCGTAGGGTGTCCCGTAATACTACCCCTATAGCTACTATAGCCCTTACTACTACGGCCCCCGCTACTGCTACTACTGCCCCTCTAGCTCCTCCTCCCTCGAGAGCCTTAACCCTATCTATATTAGCTGCCCCTATCCCGGCCTCGGCTCTGCCTACTACTCTAGGCCCGGCCCTATTAGTCCGTCCGGCCTAGCTAGTCTATTAATAGACCTTTTAGTCCGTTAGTCGAAAAATCAGGGAACTAGTTAAATTAGAACCTCGTTAAAATTAATAATAAGGGGTAAAAAAAGGGGGTTTTTAAGTAGACCTTCTAGACTAAGATAAGGATTCCTTAAAGAAACGGAAGACTAAATAAAACAGCTGCCTAGCCTATAAATCCCTAGGCTATAGGTTATTATAATACTAGTAAGTCTTTAAGGAAAACTAACCTAAAGGATTTAACCCTTTAAAGAGGCTATAAGAAACGATATAATAGTCTCTTAAAGAGGACCCCTCGTTATAGAAGAAGATAGATAAGATTCGGGTTACTAAGAAATAGTACCTAACGCCGCTGCCCTTATTTAAGCCGTAAATTTAAGGAAAAACTATTAGTATAGTAAATCCGGCCTTCGTCTTCCTTATAGATTAATAAGGCTAAGACTAACCGTTAGAACCCTCCGACTATCCCCTATAAAAATTAGCTATCCTTAATTCTAGTACTTCCCTTAATATCTATAATACCCTCCTACGATTCCGGTCCTTTAAGAAGGCATAGAGGGAATACCTTATTACTAGGGAATTATTTATATAAATATAAGGATATAGAAGGGTGAAATTTACTATAAAATTACTTAATAGGTCTATTATTTATATAAATATAAGGATATAGAAGGGTGAAATTTACGATAAAATTACTTAATAGGTCTATATATATTCTGCGGCGAAAAAAAATAGCTTTTTACCCTCGATTTTTAACGCGCTTAATTTCCTTCCGCTTTCTTCGAGAGGAAGGAATCTTCTAAGATACGACTTCTAAGCCTATAAGGCTAGTCTAGAAGAATTAGACGATTAGGCTTATCGAGGAAAAATTCGGTTAATTTATTCTCGAATTCCGACCTATCCTTAGGAAGGAACTGCTTAAGAAGTCAGCTTTCCCTACTAGGAGGAATAGGTCTACTATAAAGGACCCTCTTCTAGCAGCCTAAGGAGACGGTCTTCTTTAGCACGCACGACTTAGTTATCTAGGTCCCCTAGCTTTATATAACATAGCTCTACGTTAGCTACTATACACACACACATAAGACCCTACCTACATTCCACACACACGCATACATATATTAATTTAAAGCTATTGCTAGCGCCGTAATAGACCCTCTTCTCTCTCCTTAATGCCCCTACGCCGTAAGGCGACTTAAACGAAGCCCACGATGCCTATAACCTTATGCCTAAGCTAATTTAAAGCTTAAAAAGCGTGATGTTTTGGCACGATAGTGGCTTGAGAAGCTATTAGTAAAGACCCCCCCCTTAATAGTGGTTTTTATACTAATTACTACCTCTAGCACCTCGACGAGCTATGGCTACGAATCCGCGATCCTAACGTTATTATAGTCACACGCGGCCGGCCCTGCAATAATAAGCTGCCTGTGCCGGGTTCCCTCGCAGGAACGGCATCACAACCAGCGGCGGCAGCAGCAGCAGCGGCAGCAGCGGCAGCAGCGGCAGCGGCGGCGGCGACGACGGTGACGGCATCACAACAGCACCCAATTCGAGTCAGGCCAGCTCAAGGCGGCTTAACGCAAGCATTCGAAGGCGCCGGGGGCACAACGAAATCGACGAACTTAGCTACAGTCCGCGATCTCTCACAGCGTCACAATAAGGATCGACCGCCCGAGGAAATACAAGGGGAAGGGGATCAAGAGGAGGACGCGGCAGGAGGGGCGCGCCGCCGGCTTCGTCAGGGCAGCCGGCTTCGTCAGGCGTTGGAGGGATCGTTGAGTGGGATGCAATTGAGGCGGCGCCGCCGCCGCCGCCCACACAGCCGTAAGGGCCAAGGAGGAGCCGGATCAATTGACGGGCCGATTGTTGCAATTTCGAGCTTAAGGCCCGGAAATGCGTTATTTGAGCGAATTGAGAGGCATGCGTTATATGGCCTTTATTGCCTCTTGTGTGTGTGTGTGTGTGTGTGGGCGGGCGGGGGCGCGGGCGTTTGGGCGGTACCGCTACCTGCTATGCGGGCGCGGTATAAATAGGCGGGGCGGGCTGGTGTTGGTATGTATCTTAAGAATGGGGCCTTTGTACGAATAGCGATGTGTCTTTGTACAAATAGTAATACTCTAGCAGATTTGCCGTAATTAAGCGGTCGACCTTATCCATCCATGCTCTGCGGCATAAGAGTCGACGGCGACAACTCGTTTTAACGCAAACACTCTTTTATGCTTCCATGCTGCTTGCCATAAAGCGACCGACCGCCTTGACTTGATGATTGTGATACAGTGACAAGCATCATGATGACTGACACTACAGCGGACTACTTGTCGTTGCTCCTGGAGACAACCACTTATGGCTAAGATAAAGACGCAACATAACTCACATCCATATACATGTGTACGCCTAAATATGTAGTGGACTTCGAAGCCGTTCCGTTCGCGCAACCGCCTTGGCAGTAGGTAATGAAAACTCGCAACTCTATTGCGCTGACTCGCCAAGCATCCTGCTGTCTGTCCAAGGTATGTCCTCGCAATAGCCGCTGCCCGCTGCACAGCTGAAGTATCGGCGTCTACCCTTTAGTGTTGATGACGTAGAAATCGCATTACATCTTCGTGCTGCGACGGTCGCACCCCCTATTTCTGGGTTCTCACCGCCCCTTTTTCTGGGCCATCGCCGCTCCTCTCTTGTCTAGACCAAAGGCCGATGGTTATCTGGAAAGTCTGATGATTGCAAAGTGTTGCGATTTCGTGCTCCTTCTACGTCGCCCCCGCCAGCAGGTTCGGCTATATAAAGGCCTCCATCCCTCCGTCATGTTTCCGCAGTCGTCCTCCATCCTGCCCAGTTTATCGACGCAAGAAGCAACTCGCCACAATAGCTACATCATCTCCAACCCCAACCCACTCCAAGCTCGTCCAAAATGCTCGCAAACATCAGCATCCTGTCCGTCAGCGCCGCTCTGGCCTCCCTAGCCTCCGCCGGCCGGGTCATCGTGGCGAACAACTGTGACTACGAAGTGAGTGTCTGGGCCGTGGGCCAAGTACAATCCCCCGTCACCCACGTCGGACACGGCGAAAGCTTCTCCGAAGAGCTTCACCGAGACCCTGTGTCTGGAGGAAGAGACATCAAAATCGCCCGCAAGCCACACCCAGGGAACACAAACCCATTGAGCGGGGCGCATCTGCAGTTGGCCTACAACGTTTCCCCTGATGGAAATCGTCCATTGGACACAGACTCGGGAAGTCTCAACTACGATCTCAATGCCATCTTCAATACCCCCTTTCCAAACTCGAGGGTGACCCTGAAGTCGACCGGGTGCCCTCACATTCTCTGGGAGACGGGCGTCAAGCCACAAAATTCTGGCGGTCAGGCTTGCAAGGGGATAGGCCATGACCTGACCTTGACACTGTGCGCGCCTGCCGAGTCATAGCGAAATTCTAGGCAGTGACGAGCATACCAAGGGAACAGCAGTTGGGAATGGCTCGCGTAATGAGACGCTGGATGATTACTAGGCTATAACCTAACGGAATTGTCCCATATGCTCTCGAGAAAGGAGGAAGAGTGTTCGACCAAGCAGGCCTGAGATTAATAAAGACTCCTGTCATGACAAGTCTTAACATGTAGTACCGATCAATAAGCGCAAGCCTTATTTTCTTCCAATGTTTGATAAGCCACCTTCGGGCCATAACTCGGAACTCAGGGACAATTAATCTGTGCTTTCAAGTTGACCCCAGGTTTATACATGGGACTGTGGCGTAAGATGGCAAGAGAGCGGAGCTAGAACTGCATCCTGCCTCTCAGCTAAGCTTTGCCGCTTCTTCACCGAACAATAACTTCAGCTGTTTCATGTCACTGCTTCCGATACCAAAATCTCTTTAGATAGTGACCTGTCGGCGTTACGCCGGAACACGAATCCGAGAATTGCGCCAACCCTCTGGGCCGCTTCAGCCAAATCCTGTATTTGTGTCTTGCAGCAGCCGCTTACATGTGTAGTCATGCCAGCGGTCGGGCGTCATGAGCCCGGTGATTCAGGAGAGGATATCCAAATCCACCGGGAAAGGCATAACCCCTGCCAGAGACCAGTCGACGATGCCTATAACTTTGGATTGTTCTCTTAGACTAGAATATTCGTTCCTGAGAATTCACTATGCGTGAGGACTTATAGGTGGTCTTGACTGAAGAGCGAGGGACGGCTCTCTATGAGCTTGGACAACATCAAGTTCGATAGGATGGGCTATCCGGGCGGAGTCTTCTAAGAATTCCTTATTGCTATATTGCCTAGTTTTAACGGTCGATCGACTATGGACTGGACCAGCATTGGCGGAAGTACCTTGAAGGTGTAAGCAATATGGTCTCTAAATGGCCCTCGAACCTATATAGAGTTTACCAAGCGAGGCGCTTGACAAAGAATCTATGCCTGGCATCATCATCTAGAATCATTTTAGCCTAAAAATGCAAGACTTAAATGCACTATGAGCCTTGCAATTATGGCATGGAGTACATTAATAGCGGCTGATCGGCCCCTCTATGCTCTATGTTCCCGTGACAAGTCGACTGCGACGCCGGGTCACCGTGGATTTCCCTGGCCAACTTCACCACCTCCTCGTCAAGCATACCCCCCTGATCTCAAAAGGATACAACGAAGTCTTGTTGTGGCCGGGGTACCAAATGCAGACAACGGTGTAGCTCAACGAGCCCGGGCTGTTCACGGGGCTGGCCGTCGACGCACAAGAAACGGAGTGCGCAAGTTCGTCACATTGTGTCCCGGACGGCAATTTGCGGCCATCAAAGAAGTGGTCGGTGGCCTGCTGGGCCCAAGATATCTGAGCCATTATCAAAAGTGTAGTTGTCTTGGTCGTGGTTTTCAAGCTTTCAACCAACACGCAAATATGCCATTCAACAGCCAGCATGCATTGAGTCAGGCGGCAGCCCCTCACTTCAATCATCTTTTATGGAACAACGGACTGGATTTTGAGGCTGAGTTTCCTCACCGGGATAGGTCGACGGCCACCAAGGACTCTGCAGACTCCCAGGACGTGCACGTCTCACTGCTCCTCAGAACCCTCTACGAGTTTGTGCTATCACCGATTTACAGCTCCAGTAGCCTTCCCCAGTCCGATGGCGGAATAATAGACCCGAGGAAGAATGGAAGGGCAATGAAGCAGTGGGCCAGGGAAACGGGCAAGAGGGTGACATAAGTTGCTGACGAAAACCTCTCGTTTCCCTAACCTTTCTACAGCCTCTGCCACTTCCATTACCACCTCTGACGCCCTATTCCTGTTATATTACGCCCCATAGCTGTTATAGGCGCAGCCCGTGGCGGCTCTCCTGTCTATTCTATTACCTTGCGACACTTGAGGTACATGTAGGTATGGGCTAAGGGCAATTAGTGGATTTCTTGTCTTCTCTCTTATTTCAGGCGGAAGGCACTTCGTGCTTTGTATATCTCCATCGTCACCACAGACACGTCATTCGTCGCTAGTCTTTACACGTCGTGGATGACGCAATGCTGTAACATAATTTCAGCCATGACCTCCGTGATTGGTACCATGATTGGAAGGCGCTCCCCGTGCAAAACAAGCAACGTCAGATGATGCCATTAGCTAGGTATGCAATCTTTGATGGTTCCTCTCCTGCTAGTTTGAGAAATGGGCCTGGCCTTGTACGGTTGTAGCTCTGTTGGAGGCTTTCTCTTGTGAAAACGCGCACCAAGTAACCCAATTGCGCCAACGATGTCATCCATTGACCGTACCGATTGCCCTTTCAGTCCTGTAGAGAACCAGGTGTAGAGGCTCACCATCTGGGCATATCTTCATTACCGTCCTCTTCTTGAGCCGAACTTCTGTGCGGTCGAAAGCATTTTGTCACGTCACCTTCATGTCCTCGATGGCGACAGAGACATTCGCGCCTTGCTTTCAGAAGGCTACTAATGCCACAGGGGGCCAAGGCAGGACTCGACAGCAAACAGTCAAGAAAAGGCTCGTATCTGACGTGGCGCTAGGGTCACAGCCGAAGTGACACGAAGCAGCAGTAGTTGAGAGATTCTCCACCAACCAATGTTACGGGCAAAAAGGTGTCTTGCTGAAATCGGATGCCCATGCCTTTCACTCCATGTCGAGTCTTGGGCAGCCTCAAGCGGGTCAAGAGCCGATTCTGATGCTGATTCCATGGGCAACGAATGGGAGGAAGATGCAGACCATGTGGCGTTTCGCCTACAAGCTAGCCAGCAGTGGAATCGCCGGCTGCAAGCCTGTTATTCGTGGAACTGGAAGACGAGGTGCATGGAAGCGTCGTCGTTCTGCTGACGTTTGGCGAGATGCCGGCGGCTTTTCGGGCCGGCCGCGGATGCTCCCAGGTCACATGATTGATGACGATGGCCACAGTCGAGCAAAGCTGACGGCGTCTGTTCATCCATCAATCGCTGTAGTGATGCACGAGACGTCGAGCATTGCGGGGAACGACTTGCCATTGGCGGAGAATTTCGGCGACATTTTAACTAAGCCCTGCATTATGGGGGGCCCCGCCCAGCAGACCTTGCAGCTCCTCCAAAATCTCTGGAATCGAGGTGCTGAGCGCTGACCTACTGTGGCAGCCCAAATTGATTCACTACTTCGGCCTCGTTCAGTCTATGCCGGGCTCGAGACGGCAGCTCGGCTTGTCGCTCCCTCCGAGGCCGCCGCAGAGCTATACGTCAGCCCAACCCGTCTTTTCCACTGCTATGTCTGAGGCTTTCCCTCGACCCGTCTCACCGACGTCCGTCCGCCTCATCGTCTTCGTGGGTTCGGCGCCAGCATCTTTGCATTCGTGCAGGCAGACCCCAAGACCGAGGCTTGGCCGCTAACAGACAAAGGAAAGGGAGAAATAGCTCGCCTGTTAGTGGCTCAGCCACGACTTGGTCGGCATCTTCCTTGACCCCCATCAACAAGACACAAACGCCCAGCAGTCGGCCGCCCTGAGACTGAGCGTGACCGACGGACTCATTTCGCATTTCCTTCCACTGGCTCACCCCATCAACGACAGTTCCGAGGCCTTTGTATGAGTCTACAGCAACCTCTTCCACGGCCCAGTGTTGCCGGCACCCAGCCATTGGTTGATCAAACCAACTGGCACCGTTGAGTCGCGTCATGGCTGCGGTCAAAGAGCTGCTGGCGAGCCCATCACCCAGCCCCTCGCCAGCCAGAGACCCCAAAGGCGACACAGACGTCAACGACATGGACGCCAACAGCAGACTCCGTCAAAGCCCCGTCATGCTTCATGAGATATCTCCTCGCGGCACCCCCGAGGAGGGGGACACAAGGATCCTGGCTATTGTCTATGAACAGAGCCAAGAGCACATGGTTACCATGTTCGCCGAGGTTTTGGGCAAGCCTTTCAGGTTAAAGGACGGCTTCCAACACGTGACGCCAGGTGAGCGTGGATGCATCATCGGCATCCCGGCTGAGAAAGCAAAGGCCGACGTCGAAGCGAGGCATCACAAGCTCGTCGTCGCTGTCTACGCTCGCTGTATCGATTTGGAGGTGCCGCCAGATCCCACGCTATCCGACCATTGTGACTACGAATTCCTGTACACCGACTCGCCGTTTCTCCGGCGTTATCTCGCACGCTTCGTCTCCCTCACCCTAGGGCAGCTCAGCCATCACGAGGAGCTCATGGCAAAGCCACGGACGTACTTTATCTCTACAACCTTTCCGGATGTCCGACCTGCGTTGCCCGATCTTGACATCCTCACCGTGGGCTCCGATGCGGTCGAGATCCGGGTCGATCTCCTTCGAGAGTCCATCGGCGATGGCGTCTTTGCCAAAATCCCCAGCCTGCGCTATGTCGGCGAGCAGGTGATGCTGCTGCGGCAGCGCACGGAGCTTCCTATCATCTTCACAACGAGATGCACCAACGAGAATGGCAAGTTTCCCATGGACGACCCTGACCTGTATCACCGATACCTCTACAAGGCCATTCAGTGGGGCGTCGAGTACATCGACGTCGAGCTATGGCTGCCCGAAGCCATCAGACGGGACCTGTACGCGAGGCGTGGACATTCGCGCATCATGTCGGCGTTCCATGACTTTTCAGGGACATTCCGCTGGCCTTCGCAGTACGCGCAAGAGGTGTTTCAGCGCTCGTGCCCGTACGCCGACTTGGTCAAGATGATTTCCATTATCAACGAGCCTAGCGAGAACCTGGAGCTTGAGCATTTCCGGTCCCAAATCCGCTTCGAGTTTCCCAATGCGCCGCCGTTCTCGGGAGTAAACATGAGAGAGGTGGGCCAAATTTCGCGCACTCTCAACAAGGTTTTCACCCCCATCACTCATCCGCTGCTACCCATCGTCGCGGCCCCCGGCCAGATGAGCACAGCCGAGATCCACGGCGCCTTGGCCATGCTCGGCCAGCTGCCCAAGAAGAACATTTACGGGATTAGCAGCTCGGCTTTCCGCAGTGCCGTTCCACAGGCGCCCTTCTACGTAAAGTGCTTCAACGAGCTTGGGCTGCCTCATCACTTTGCCGTGGTCGAGCGACAGCCCGACGACTATGCAGGCACGGAAGCCTTGTGCAACCAGAGGGACTTTGGCGGTGCCTCTCTAGACCCTGGTGTGGCCCATCAGACACTCACGACGCACAGCGAATTCTTCGCAAGCCTCAACGATAGCCGTGGCCCGACCTTGACCGAAGCCGCCCGGGCCATTGGCATCGTGGATACCATTGTAGTCGACACAAAACCATCCGCATCAACGGCGCCTCTCTCAATGATACCCCGCCTGCCGCATCTCAAGGACGAACCGTCATCGCCACCACATCAGTCGGGCCTGAGCTCGAATGCGTCTCTCATCTTTGACAATGCCGGCTGGAGAGGCATCATGCACACTCTGATCCGCGATCTAGCCCCGTCGGCGTACTTTGGACGGTCCGCGGTGGTGGTGGCGTCAACTTGCGACGATGCGGCACCCACATTCTACGCGCTCAAGGCGCTTAAAATTGCAAAGATCTACACCGTCGGCTTCCGGACGCCGCCGGCGCTGGCCCGTAGCGCGCCGCCGATCGAGCAGTTTATCAGCATGGAGTCGCTCCAGCGCGCTCGGTCCGTGGCCGATGACAGGGCTCCTTTCGTCATCGTGTCGGCACTCGGGCCTGAGAAGAGCAATCTTGTCAGCATGCTTGTGCGGGTCTTTGGCGCGACGGGGCCGCGGAACGGATCGAGCACGAAGGTCTTCTTGAATCTCGCCGATGTGGCCGCGCAGAGCACGAGCGACCCGAGCGAGACGGCCGAGAGGAGCGGTTTTGCGGCGTACGATGCGGCGGACGTGGCGGCGTTTTCGACGGTGGAGAGCCTGCGGTTGCTTGTTGGGCAGAATGTGCCCTACAACTTCGTGAGGCTGGCGAGCGGAAGGAATCCCTTCTGAGGGCGGGGAGAGTACATTGAAAATCAAACAGGGCTTCACACCGCCGGGACAAGGAATGCTTCGAAAGGAGACGGCAGAAACGCTTCTGTTGAAATGAAACGATGCCAACGTCCAAGGCGGACTGACGATGCAAGAACCAAGTGCTCTATTCACGGACTGTCTTCGGTATCGGCCTTGGTTCATGGCCCCAAATGGCAGGGGAGGGGCAGAAGGCGGCCCAAGGTGGGAACCGCGGAATATTTCCACACGGAGTGCCCAATTTACGAACGTGACGGTTGTGAGGGAGGGAGTTATACAAGCACTTGGTGCGATGGCAGCGACCAGCGTGTTACAGGGATGGTACAGACACTTGCCAGTTACCGACTGTTGGTCTCTGCCTTTGTACGTACCGAAACTGACAGTGAATATGGTTTGAAGTCATGCTTGCCGCAGATGCCGTTTGATGGGTACCGCGGATCTGGTAAACGTGGAGCCACCACGGTGGCGTACAAGATGGAAACGACCAGGCCGGCAGATGGGCGTGTTGGCTCGCAGTGCTTGCCAGACCGGGAGATGCAACACGTGTGTGTAGGTTGATGACCCCGGCAATGGTTGTACCCGACTATACCTCGGTCCTTGTTTATTAAGTTGCCGAGTTCCGCTCTGGCCCTTGGCATGCACAGATGGATGATGGCCAAGGCTGAAGCATTGTGCGGGGCTGAGGTAAGCCAATCACATCAGTCGAGGCCAAGCCGCGTCTTGAAGTCTCAGCCCTACTGCGTGGGCTGTTGAAGAAAGCTCTGCTCATGACTACGGTACTCCACAAGGACACAACCATGTCTACCCTCTCATTCTGCCCGTGTCTCCACAAACACACAACAATACACAGATGGAAGCGCCTCGAAGCCCAAGGGTGCAAGCGTACTAAAAATGGCAGCATATATGTACTGTGCCTCGTTCTATTATTACGTTTCGCACGTGGCCCATTCCATGGCAAAGTTTACCCATTCCCGACCCCCTGCTCCCCTGCTCTGCTCTAGCTTTTAGTCTTTGCGCTGGGCAAGGAGTGCCCTCAGACTCAGTACCACGACAGCAGTATGCTGGGGGGTCCTCGAGGCGAGAAGCCCATAGCGAGTCGGACTGGGCTGCAAGGGTCAGTCCTATTTCGCCTCGCGGGTGATGGCGGGCCGCGCAGTAAGACGGGTCGGGTCGGGTCCGTGTCTCTCCTTGCGTTGGGGTTCGCACGCCAGTAGCCGGTTCGCACCGACTGTAGCCCCGTCGGTATTACTCATGGATATATAGATATACAGGATCTCCGTGGGTATCGGGCGTGCTTCCGCGGTGGGTTGCCGGGCCCCCACTCGCATACGTTGACAAGAGCGGGATGGGATGTCGAGGCAGATGAGAGGTGCAGATCGTGCCAAGTAATTAGGTACCTAGGTACAGCTTTCAGCGCACATACAGACCTAAGTAGCTCCTACCTACCTGTATGTGCAGTGCCTACCTAAGTAAGTACAGTACGAGACAGGGCCTGCCTACGTACCTACTTACTTGTACGTCTGTACGTAGGCCTAGCAGGGGCGGTGGTGTGGCCTGAAGTCACGATGGCTGCACCCCCAACCATGATTGATTCCGACTGGCTGGCTTCCCTCTGCACAGAATGTTCTTCTCTGCCCGAGCAAGGGTCGTCTTCTTCATCCGCCGCCAACGACTCTTGGTTTGCAAATCGCACACCCCCTCCCCCGCCAGGTGCTGCAGGCATCGCGCACGTGGGCGACAAAGGCACTGTACGGAGCAAAATTACAATCAATCGTTCCCGAACAGCGAATCCCTTGCTTGGCCCCCTCTCTCTCCCGCCGCGGGGCACGGCAGGGTAAAGACGGCGGACCATCGCCTCGACGACTACCGATACGCCATTCAACCTTCAACCGCTAGCAAAGTCGACGGCCCGGGAGACTCACAGGCCCGCGGCCCACGACGACCAAAGCACAGGGAGAGGATGAAATGAACTCCTCATCGCACACGCCCTCGTCGTCGGGGCCGCAGCATCAGCCCGTCGTCGCCGTTCCTCGCCCGCAGGTCAGCATTGAGCGTCTCCCGGCCCGCCACCAGAACAACGAGCCGCGCGAGTCCATGAACTGCAAGTCGTGCCGCAAGCGAAAGGTACGCTTGCTTCTCTTTCAGTCCCTCGCGGCGTCTTTTCTCGTGCCTGCTGGCGTACTCATACTTGAGCGAGCCTGCTGACGTTGGATATCTTCACACCGCAGATCAAATGCAACAGGCTGCGCCCGGCGTGCGAGGCCTGCCAGATCTTCCAGTGCCCGTGCATCTACGGTGAGCCTCTACAAAGGCCACACGCCATCACTTCAGCAGCATGAGACTCGCTAACCCCCCCAGACGCCATTCCCAAGAAGCGCGGACCCAAGACGGACGTCTTGGAGGCCCTCCTCAAGCGCGTGGATGGCCTCGAGGCAAAGCTCAAGGACAAGAACCTCGACGACTCTTCGTCCAAGACCAGCGACCAAGCCTCGGACGAAGCCTCGGAGCAAAGACCCGAACCCTTGTCCAAGCCGCCAACAACAGACAGGTCACCTTTAGCGGGAGCCTACTATTCGACCCCCAGGTTGGTTTGCCCCTTATGCGCTCACGCCAGGGCTGACTTCAACCACAGGGGATCCCCGGCTTCGCCCGTCCACATAGGCGCCCTCGTCCATACCTACTTTACTCGCTTCCACGGCAAGCCCTACTACATTCTCGACGAGTCTTCGGTGCGGCAGCGCATTCGGCAGAGCCAACTGCCCGACTATCTTTGCTATGCCATATGCGCCGTTGCCGCCAGGTTCGCCGCCTTTGTTTCAGGCGCACTGCGGCGCCTTTAAATGCTGATCGTCCGCTTCTAGACATACACCGCTGCACCATGGCCAGCAAGCCGCCGCACAGCTTAGTCGTGACTATGCAGCTTGTGCGAGGCGCAGTCTGGACACGGACGAGCCGTCGATTGACGCGCTACAGGCGCTTTTGCTGCTTGTCCTGGCCTTCGTCGCCTCTGGCAAGGGAAAGAAGGCGTATATGCTGATGAGTACGCAAAAGGCCCCTTCTGATGGACCAAACCACTGACTTCATGTAGCCAGCGCCATCGGCATGGCCACGGCCCTCGAGTTGAATCGCGAGGTCGTCGACGCTCAAGCCTGCATCACGCCTGTCCAGCGGGAGCTGCGCCGTCGGCTCTTTTGGACTTGCTACCTGCTCGACCGTTCTCTGGCCTGCGGCTCCAAACGCCCGTCTTTGATTCGCGACAAGTCCATCGCTCTACGCCTGCCCTCGTGGTGTCCAAATGCCTCCTCGCCCCCAATCGATGGCGAATTCTTCCAGCGTGGCTACAACCTGCAGTATCTCCAGGGCGGCAAGCAGTCGCAAGGCAGCACCGGCATGCTCATCGACATCGCCCGTATCCTTGGCATCACGAACAGGTACTTGGCCGCCGGAGGCGTCAAGGGTGACTCTCATTTCCCGTGGCACTCGCTGTCGACCCTGTCCAAGATCCGCCAAGAACTCGACTTCTGGGCATCTGGCGCAAGCGACGTCTTTTCCACCAGCATCCAGGCGCTCTTGGGCCACCCGGAGTCGACCATCCTTATGCTGAGCAAGCTCATCTATCACCTCGTCCACTGCCTCATCTATCGCCCCTTTTTGCCTATCGACCTCGCCGAGCTCGCGGGCACCGGCCAGCACCAGTCGTGGCAGGCTGATGCCACCAACATGTGCTTTATACATGCCAACTCTATCGCCGAGCTGGTTGGTTTTGCCCGACAAGCCAGCGCCGTCGAGTGGCCGTCTCTCGTCGGATACTGCATCTGCACTGCCGCGACCGTCCACATCCACGGTGCGCATTACTCCAATCCCGCTGCCGGCGGTGAGATGAACGTCTTCAACTCGTCGGCCGACTTTCTATCGGCAGAGATGCAGCAGTTGAGGGACCTTCAGCATGCGTGGGCCAACGTCGATCACCAGCGCGAGACGCTGCAGGGCATCTACAATGCCCACGGCGAATTGGTCAAGGCGCTGGGCGGAAGCACGATGCGATACACGCCCGCTTTTCACCTCGAGGACTTTTTTGACAGATACCTCAACATCGGCGGCCCTGGCGGCAAGTCATTTCGCTTCGACCCGGCGCACTTGAGTTTATGGAGTACTGTCGATGGGTTTATTGTGGGATCCTGTGCTGGAGAGGAATTGCTGGCGTCCTCCAGCAGTGGCGGCGCGGGACGGCCGAGTCTCAAGCGAAAGAACCCGGCGTCTGCGAGCGACGATCAACGAGAGTCGAGAGCCAGCTGCGCGAGGGAATCTCAGGAGCCTGTGCTGCCGCCAACTGCGGTGCCCGAGCACACCCCGTACCAACAACGGGTCTCGCAACACCCTGTTGCTTCACCAGTGCTACTGCAGCCCCGCGCCGAAAACACAATGTCGCCGCAGTTTGCAGGGTCCGCGCGCCACGCCGTGAACCTTGCGGTGCCTGCCAACGCAGCCCATGTTTCTGCTCCGCCCCAGTCTTACAGCGCCTCGGCCGCGACATCAGGGGCAGCCGCTCCGGGCGTTCATGCGTCGGCGAGAACAGGCTTTGGCACGTACAACTACGGGTCGGTCTCGATATCCAGTGACGCCAGCCATGCCACCCCAAACGACAGCAGCAACAGCTACGACCCCGTGTTCGGGCCACTGCCGACCAATGCGTTTTGGCGCGGCGAGGACAGCCAACAACACAACAGCGTAGGCCTGCTGAGTTCGGAGGCAGCAACTCCCAATGTCGGGAAGAGCATGGCTGGAGGCAGAGAAACCGCCCATGCCGATGACAAAGACCCGTTCCTGAGCCTGCTGGAACAACTCGCCGAGGAAGAGCAGCGTTTCAACACTGGCTCTGGAGCTGAGTTGGATACCTTTTTGACACCCAGCGGCGGCTCGGGATAGGGGGCGTTGCCGTGGGGGTTATTTGGAATAGCTTCTTTCATGAGCGTCCAGTGTGCTGTTACATCGCTTAGGTGGGTCTGAAGAACCACATGCTGGCCTGCAGTGGTAAAGCGCACCCCTAAAGCTATCGTGAAGGCGTTTTCTTTTTATAGATGGTCATGGCGCTTCTGGGTCGGGAAGTCCTGGGTTTCTGGCATGATGAGCTTGAAAGCGCTTTAGGAGGGAGAAGCCACAAGGGAGTGAAACGGTGGCTGTATCGCCACTCGAGTCGGCCAAGAAGGGCTTCCTCGACGGAAAAGGGGATATAGAAAAGTGAGTGAAAAGCATGATTGGCCCGCCCAGAATTTACGAGTACCCAATCCGCGATGACTGCCTTAACATGAACGGTTTGCACCTGGGACTGCGTTGCCAGAGTCTACTTTGCCTGGGACGACGGCGTCTCATGACGTCGCTTTGTTTGCGTTTCCACCCTTGTTGCTCATCAAGCCCCTCACTCGTCCCCCATGGGAGTGCGTGACTGCCCCTGTTCTTCTCTGGGTTGGGCTTTATCCGGCGGTGGCGGCGTCCAGCCTGTGGCGGCCTGAACGACCACCATGATGAGCACCAGGATCCCCGCGGCTTTCCACACCGACCTGATGGCACTCGCGTACCCCTGGAGCGCGACCTGCTGGTCTCGGGGCGATAAATCGCCGCGGAAGACCAAGTGGGGCATTCCTTGCAGAAGGGAGATGAGTTTCTCGTGATAGAGGCTGAGATGGTGACCGCCGTCGAGGGCGAGATAGCCGCTCGTCAGGCTGTCACGCAGGAAGCGGTAGAAGACGCCGCCGCCAATGGAGGTGCCGAAGCTGCCGCCGAAGCCGCGGAAGGTGGCGAGGAGGCTGCTGGCGACGTAGTCGGTGCCCGGGTGGCAGAGGTGCAGGAGATGGGCCAGGGTGTAGTTGAGCGCGGCGCCCGTGGTCATGCCGTTGACGAAGACGGCGACGACGAGGGCGGCGAGGGAAGCACCGGGGGTCGCCACGGCGGCGAGGACCAGCAACGACGCGGCAAAGGCGAGGAAGGAGACAATGCAGGGCAGCCAATAGGGCCCGGAGTGGCGGATGTGCAGCCAGCCGACGAGGACGCCGCCGACGGTGAAGCCGAGGTTGGTGGGGACGAGAATGGAGCCCGAGGTGGCCGGGGTGGTGCCGCGGACGGCGAGCATGAAGATGGGGGCAAAGTACAGCAGGCTCCAGCGGGCGGACATGAGGCCGAGCTGGGCGAGGCAGGAGAGCAGGATGCCGCGGGAGGAGAGGATGGCGAGGGGGATGACGGGGTCGGCGGCGAGGCGGTACTCTGTGAGGAGAAAGGCCGCAAGGAAGAGGGGGGAGAGGAGAAGCGAGAGGGGGTGGAGGTCGCCGGCGAGGCCGTAGAGGAAGAGGACGGTGGTAGCGGTCTGCAGTTACATGGGCATCAGTTCAACAAGATAGCAAAGGAGGGGGGGGCTTGGCTTTCAACGTACGAGAAGGACGGCTCCGAGGTAGTCGATCCGGGCGAGTCTCTGGGAGACGGACGAGGTTTGCTGCTTGGAACAAGTGGACGACGCAGCCTGGTCGCCGGGCCTCATGGACGTCGGGGCGCTGAGGAAGACGGCGACACCTGCGGCGAGGGCGCAGGGGGCCTGCATCCAGAATAGGGGCCGCTTGAGGCTTTGTCAGTCGTTGGGTGCTTGGAGTGGGTAAGGGTGAGGTGAGGGATGACGGGGGTGGCGAGTACCAGCAGATACACATGCACACGGAAACGCATGTAAAACAAGAGGAAGAGAAAGAAGACGAGAGAGCACCCACCCATCCAACCACAGAAAGCAGCCCCCCATAGACAACAGCCCCGAAAGACACCCCCGCGGTAATGCCGGCGTTGACGAGACCGATGCAAACGCCGCGGCGCCTCTTGCTAACCAGGGCAAGCACAAAGATGACGGAGAGAGCGAGGACACCGCCGGCGCCGGCGCCGGCGACGACGCGGCCGGCGATGAAGACGGGGACGGAGCGGGCGCTGGAGGCGAGCAGGGCGCCGGCGGAGAAGAGCAGGGCAACGGGGAGGACGAGGACGCGCGGGGAGAAGATGGCGGCGAGGCGGCCGAAGAGGGGCGCGAGCGAGGAGACGGCGATGAGGTAGGCGGTGGTGAACCAGGGGGCGTGGGAGGGGGAGCCGAGGGCTTGGGCGATGGGGCCTTGGATGATGGCCATGCCGGACATGTTTGTTGCTTTGGGGGTGAGAGGGGGGTTCGCTCTGGTGTGTGGTGTGGGTGGGCGGGACAGAGAGGGAGGAGTGGACGGCGGCTTGATGGGACGGATGAATGCACATGGAGAGGGGATGACGGACGACTCACCTTCGAGAAAGATTAAGAGCCAGAGACTCACGCCGACGGCAAGGCCTCGCCACGGACCGACGGGGTGCCGGGTCTCATCGGAGGATTCGTCGTCATCGTCGTCGTCTCCGGACAGGGGATCCCGGCCATCCACCGCACCGGCCCCGGCCCCGGACCCGGAACCCGCGGCGGATACGAGGGCCGTGCGCTCGGTGGGCGGGGCCGAAGAGGCGGAGCACCGGCGGCCGTCGTCGGGGTTGACGTCATGGCCCCCACGCGAGACCAGTGGCTGCGGCATCGGGGGACGTAGCTGCCGCGCGGAAGCTCAACGACGTCTCGGCGCCGATGTATGTATGTGCGAAGTATGTATGTATGTATGTAGGTAGGCTGTTCTTGAGGCTGAGGCTGGGCGCAACGAGAGAGGGGGAAGAGAGAGGCAGGTGACGCGGAGGGTGGAGATGGGGAGGAGGGTTTGTGTCACGTCGGGAGGGAGGCTGCGGGGTGTAAGTCGTCATGGGAGGGTCACCCGTGCAGTACCTAAGCAGGGCCCTGTGCTCACTGAGCAGGGAAGTAGCTTAAGACATAGCGGAATGGGGCGGATGCTGCCAGGCTTGCGCTGTGCCCTGGGTAATTCTTCAGGTCCCAGTCAGGTGCCAGGGAGTTGATTTTATCAAACACAAATAGTTGATTCTGATCAACTTGGACGTCGTTACCAAGTACATTTCCAACAGAGGGCTTGCATCTATGTATATCAATTTGAGATGGATATCACCGTCGTGCCCGGGTTGCATGGAAAGAACCGCGTCAGTCTCACGGAGGCTGCTCCGGCTGAATGGCACAAAAAGCAGGGAGCATTCAAGGCCGCCGTGCTTGACGGGTTCCGATCGACATTGAAGGAACGGGCCGCTTTCCGCCTTTTGGGCTTGAGAGTGAAGCATCTGGTGCTTCGAATGAATGGCGGATACGGCGAGAAATCCTTTCTGTTTGCCCGTCAGCATCCAGCCGCAACGGAAACGTCGTGCGCCTCGGGGGAAGGCATGCTGTCGGGGTGAGACATGGCGCGGTGCGAAAAGAAGGGGCTGGCGCCGCCGTGCAACGCAGCCGTAAGATGAGCGGATGTGTCCTTGTCAACTCTCGTCTTCGGCCAGAGTCCGGGCTCCGCCAACGTGTAATAGCAACGGAGGCCCTTCTCGGAGCTGCTGCCTGGTGATAGGCAAGGCGAGAAAAGGACCACTCCATGCCTTATACGGCGACCCACCCTCCGACGCTGTCGTGAAAGGTGCCACGGAAGCCTTCCCACACCCTCGCCGGGGAATGAGAACCAATTGCGACGTGCCACGCGGGCGGAGGCGCACGGCTGAGAGCTGCTCGCCGGCGAATCGGCTCGGCCTGACGACACCGAGAAGGCAGTCGGCGCAGAAATCTTGGCCCAAGGCTCCGGAACGGCTGAGCAGTGGCTGTTTGGGGACGAACCAAGGAGAGCGTACGAGATAAGTTGCTGGGAGCCATGACAGGACGGGACCTGCGTTCGACATGGGAAGTCTGGCGCTGTCGAAAGATGAGACTGGAGAAAAAATGGAAATAGAGCATTGAAAGAATCCCTCAGCGCCATGGGTTCCTTTGGAGTTGAGTACGGCGATTTGAAGTCGGACATTTATCCCCTTGGCAATGATATATCGATGCTAGACTTGAAGAGCACTTGCGGTACAGCTCCGAGGGCTTGGAGATGGACATGGTGTGGAAACATTGTCGAAACAGCAATGGGCAGTAGTATAGGGGACCAGTGTCCCCTTCTTCCCGGACCATACGGGGAGGAATCTGACTATAAGCGCTTGGCAGCCGATGAACAGCCAAGCTGCTCCCCCGCCAGTTCATGAGCCGCCGAGCCCGCCAAGCCAAGGCTTGAAAGGAACTGTGGGCGAAAAGTACAGGACATGACGTATAAGCGGCGCTGACTTGCCGACCGCACCTGGATGGCAATGTCGGCCGCTTTCCCCTCTCATCAAGCCCGCTGGGACGCCGCTGCTAATTAGGCAGGGGTGCCGCCGTGATCGGGCATCTGCAGATGGCGCCCCCGCCCCCAATTCGGCATTGCGGCGGCAATATCAGAGCCGGGACTGAGAACCCCGGATGGTGATGACATCTGTGCGACCGTTCTTGGTATGAATTCATCGCAGGAGGGAAGTAGACGACGTCATTGAGCCGGTTGTCCAAGCTGGCAACGGCTGACCTCGCCGGCTCCCTCCAGCTCATGATGATGTATAAGCGCATGTATGTCGACAAGCCGGCAGCGAGAATCCGTACATGCACACAGATAACTGTATGCAAGACATGTACTTCGTACCATGTGTTGCAATCTACGTGTGCCCATCCTGCATGTCTATGCTCTTTGGGAGATGGCGGCTCGGTGAAGGCTCTTGCTTACTCGCCGTGCCGCCACGTACGACACGATCCGGGCCTCGTTGACACCAGCTCAGCCCGTGTGTTTCTGCTGGACGGACGAGAGTAGATATAAGCCTCAGTTCTATCGCCTGGTCCCTCCAATCAAAGCACCACGAGCAGCAACAGAAACCAAAATGGACAAGGGGCGGCAGCAGCAGCAGCAGCCTCGCGGGCGGTCCGCCGGCGCCATGGAAAAGGCCCGTGGCGACGACAAGGCCGGCGGCAACGACGACGAGGCCGCGCTCGAGCGCCTGGGCCACAAGCAAGAGCTCAAGCGCAACTTCTCCACGGTGTCGATGCTCGGGCTCGCCTTTGCCATTGTCAACACCTGGCCGGCCCTCGCCGCCGCCCTCAACGTCGCCCTGCCGTCGGGCGGCACCAGCTCCGTCATCTGGGGGCTCGTCACGGCCGGCCTGTGCAACCTCTGCCTGGCCGCGTCGCTGGCCGAGTTCCTGTCCGCCTTCCCCACGGCCGGCGGCCAGTATCACTGGGCCGCCATCGTCGCCTGGGAGCGCTCGAGCCGCGCCGTCAGCTATGTCACCGGCTGGATCAACGTCGCCGGCTGGGTCGCCGTGAGCGCCTCGGGCGGATTGCTCGGCACCACCTTTGTCGTCAACGTCGTCTCGCTTCTGCGGCCGGGCTACGAGGCCCAGCCCTGGCACCAGTTTCTCATCTACGTCGCCCTTACCCTCCTCGCCCTGTCCATCAACGCCTTCTTCACCCGGCTCTTGCCATACTTTACCAAGGCGGCCTTTTACTGGTCCATCGGCGGCTTCGTCGTCATCAGCATCACGGTCCTGGCATGCGCGTCGCCCGACTACCAGAGTGGCGGCTTCGTCTACGGCCACTTTATCAACGAGGTTGGTTGGCCCGACGGCCAGGCCTGGCTCTTGGGGTTGCTCCAGGGGGCTTGGGCCTTGACAGGTACGTTGTCCTTGCCGAGAGCCCGCTCCGCATCGGGGTTTATGCCCTCTGCGCCGTGCGAAGACGCTGACTTGCGATTCTGAGCCGACGACGGCCAGGCTTCGACGCGACGGCGCACATGATTGAGGAAATACCCGAGCCTCATGTCCAAGGCCCCCGCATCATGCTCTACTGCATCTTCATCGGCGTCTTCACCGGCTTCGTCTTCCTCAGCGCCCTGCTCTTCTGCGTCAAGGACATCGAGCGGGTCATCAACGCACCGTACGGCCCGCTGCTGCAGATCTTCATGGACGCGACCAAGAGCCCGGCGGGCAGCACGTGTCTGCTTATGATACCCACTATAGGCATCGTCTTTACCTTGACGACGCTCATGTGCGCGAGCAGCCGCATGAGCTATGCCTTTGCGCGCGACCGGGGCATGCCCTTCAGCAGCGTGTTTGCACGTGTGCATCCCGGGCTCGACGTACCGCTCAATGCGTTGCTTTGGACGGCGGCATGGGTCATTGTGTTTGGTTGCATTTTTCTGGGGTCGACGAGCACCTTCAACGCCATCACGGCAGCATCGGTCGTGGCGCTCGGCATCACGTATGCCATCCCTCCGGCCATCAACGTCCTGCGGGGCCGCAAGATGTTACCCGAGAACCGGTCTTTCAAGCTGCCAGAGGCGCTCGGCTGGACTGTGAACCTGGTAAGCGTGCAAAATGATGGCACCTGTGGGTTTGCTGACGGTCTGTGTTTTGTCCCGTTTAGGTGGGCATTCTTTGGACGATCCTGACGACGGTGCTGTTCGTGTTCCCGCCCAAGGTGCCGGTGACAGCGAGCAACATGAACTATTGCATCGTCGCGTTTGGAATCATCCTGCTGATTGCCGTACTGACCTGGATTCTGGACGGGAGGAAGCACTACAAGGGGCCCAAGTTGGACGTGCAGGGGCTGGTGGAGGGGAAAGTCGAGGGTATCGAGGGAGATGCCGCGCAACCGGCGGCATTGCCGTCGAATAAGGCGAGCAGTGACGTGCCGATGGCGGAGGGCAACCAGTAGGTAGAGTGCTGTTTGCGAAAGAGATGCTCAACAAAGGGCCTCAATCACAATATCCAGAGGTAGGTAGGTTGTCTGTAAGGTGCGGTGACTAAGGTAGGTAGGTTCTGTACAGAGGTAATTCGTACTACATACTGACGCGCCGTTTTGCCAGCCGGAAAAACCAGTTCGCCGGTAGTTAGACGCACAGTACATACTTAGATACACTACCCCGTACTCGGCTCCTTCTCCGCGAACGGGGTCGGATCATTATCTGTGCCGGCGCCGACGGGCTGGTCTATGCTTGTGGCAGCATGTCTCGATTCGGACACCCTTTCCGACGGTGATCAGCAGTGGATAATGTCATCATAGCTGTCAGAATGGGTCCGACAGAGTTTGCGGGGGCACGTCCGTGCTGCCTGTTTCTCCTGTGTCTTTGGTTTCCCCCTCCCTGCCAGGCTTTTCTGCCCCGCCATTTGGATGGGATGAGATAATTAACTCTGCTTACTTTGCCTGCTGCTATCGCCTTGCTCGACCTGGTTGGCGACTGGCGCTCTGTGCGCCTGCGTGTGCGGCACCGCCGGGCATTGCAGGCGGTGCGGAGAAGAAGGCGTGGCTTCAGTTCGCGGCGACTGCTGCCTAGGCAAAGGTGTGCAGTACTGTAGGTAGGCAAAGCTGATCTTGGCTCGTGCCCTCTCTGCCAACTACGACGAGCTCGCTGTCTCGTCATTCGCCGGGCCTACAGCACATTTCCTGTTGGCCCGCCCAGTCGGTCTCGTGGCCGGCGTTTGCCGCTCAACTGTCGGAGTAATGGCTGTAGCGGCAGGGGCGCGGGTAAATATGTTCTGTACAGTATGTACGCAGTTGTACAGTATGTACGCAGTTGCTTGTGCGCCGTGAGAGCACGCATGCCATTGGCCTTGTCGTGGTAACGCAAGATTTCAGTCGCTGATGCATGGCGGCTTGGCCTGTCTCTCTTGCATGGGCGGTGGCAGGTCAGCCCGTGCCAGAGAATCGGTTGGTTCAGCGTCGGACATCTTTAATTCAACCTCGGCCCTCGTCGTAGCCCGTGTCTGACTTGGCTCCGCGTCCACTTCAGCGTGGCGGCGAGCTTTCTACAAGCACGGCAAGTATGCGAGGAGGGAGGCTCATTCAACAAACGCGGGCTCGAGACGTCGAGTAGTTCGCTCAGTGTGAACGGTTGAGGCTGCAGATTCTGACATACAACCGTTGCCTGTACATGAATGGATGCGCGTAATCTGCACAGTAAAAGTGCCTATGCATGGGCGTGCTTGGCAGCGTTGCAGTGCCTGCAGTGCTAGAGCAGGCGGGTGAGCTGAGACGGGCTCTAGCGGTCAACAACAGGCAGCTTCGTACAGTAGGTAATTACGGAGTACACAGTACCAGTCATGTAGCACTCAACCGATTCCCCCCCCACCTGGGACCTCGACTTGGACACGTTCATGATCCCCATTCCTCCCGACACATCTCTGGCCGCCGTCCGAAAACGGATACATCCGCCAAGGAGAGAGTGGAATGCCCCCCTTCTGTCCCCGCCTGTCTCAGGCAAAACAAGCTCGCACTTGGTGCTTCACCAGCAAAGCCACGCTCGCGCCAGCTGGCCGTTGATTCGTCCCGGCCGCTGACACGGGCTGAGACATGTCAACCATCCTCGCTTGACGCAGTGCTCGAGCCTCATGACGGCCGCCCCCAACCCCGGCTCGAATCGAAATGCGAGAAATAGCTCGTCGACGAATACCGTCATCGCCCCAGTCTGTGTACCGTCTCTATCCGCGCATGCCTCCGTCGTGTGCCCTGTGAGTTATGACGACCGCCGGCTCCACCGTCACCACGAATCCACCCCATCCCCATCCCAACGCTCCCCCCGTTTCGACCGTTGCCTCTGGGCCCTGCGCTTGCCAACCAACCCTGCCGCCGTATCTGTACATGTACCGACATGGCAGAGACGGGACAGCTGGAGGGAGGGCGAGCACAAGAGACGTACAGTACATGCCCACATGGCTGTACGCTAACTCTGCTATTTGTGTGTGCAACCAGGTGCGCTCGCCCCAGTCTGCAGCCTCCCCCGCTGGTCCTCTGGGGACTCCCGGTCCGGGCGAGAAAAATATCCATCTCGTCAGTCCGCTCGCCCAAGTCTCTCCTTTTGTCTCCGCGCCTCTCTGCTACTGCCTCACTCGGCTCCTTCTCCTTCGAATGGGAAAGCAGCTTCTCTTCCTCGTTTCATGACTTACTCCTAAACCGCGCCTGCTGGAGCGAAATCGTATCGGCATTCCGACTGCTTGGCGATCTCGGCCGGGCCAGATAGCCGCCCTCGACCGTGACTTCTCGTATACGTCAACTGGTTTCCACACTTGGGCAGCTTCTGTTTTGCGGGAAAAGACGAATTCGCCAACTCGATTGATCCCATTTCGCTTCCCGTACCTTTTCCGCCCTCGACTCCCAGTTCCAGCAATGACCATGGCGCCGACCAACGTGCTCTGCACCTAGTAGTCGCTCTCCAGACGCGCACACGCGCACACTTTCACTCCTTGGCTCACATTCGCCATGGACGTCGCTCCCGGAGGCTCGAACCGACATATGCCGAATCGCGGGCCGGCCGTCTTCGCCGTCACAACCGCCACCCTGATCCTTGCTTCCGTCTTCGTTGGCGCCCGCATCTTCTGTCGCCACTTCATCGTCCGCAATCTCTCCTGGGATGACAAGGTCATGATCCTAGCTTGGCTTATTGCCTTCTTTCTCTCCTTCACAATCGACCTCGGCACCGTCAACGGCCTGGGAAAGTACGATGTAGACATCTCCTCCCAAGATCTGAGCACCTTGCGCCGCTGCGAATATGTCTTCTCCATCCTATATGTAAGTCGTCCGACTGGCCAACTGCAGAGAAGAGAGGCCGGGGCGCTGATATGAGCCCCCTTTGCTCACGCAGAACCTCGCCCTCATGGCCACCAAGACCAGCATCTTGATCTTCTATCTGCGTCTCGCCAAGAATACCCAGGTCGTGCTGCGCTACGCCTCGTGGGCTACCTTGGTCGTCGTTAACATCTCGGGACTCGTCTTGACCTTCATGAACGTCTTCCAATGCAATCCCATCCCGGCCGCCTGGATGTCCGAGTTCACCGAGAACTCGTCTTGCATCCCACTCCTTACCGAGTTCATATGCGCCGCGCCCGTCAACATTGTCACCGACCTCGCAGTCCTCGCCCTGCCCATTCCGGTCCTCACCAGCATGCGACTGCCCTCGCGGCAAAAGACCATTATTGTCCTGACATTCACCCTCGGCATCTTCGTCACCATTGTCGATGTTGTTCGCATCTACTATCTGCAGCGCGCCATCTCCGAGGTGCCCACGGGCTCTACGACGGACCCCAATTCGAGGTTTGGCGGCCAGGCCGACTTTGCCTGGAACGCCTCCCTTTCCCTCATGTGGAGTGCTGTCGAGGTCAATGTTGGAATGGCCTGCGCCTGCGTCCCGACACTCAAGCCTCTCATTTTGAAGCTCCTCCCCTCCATGCTGTACGATCCAGATGGCACGCGAACCTTGAACGAGTCCAAGGGCCCAAACGACTCCGAAATAGCCCTATCCCGGAACCGGGCCAGTGTCGCGACCCCGGCTGCCGCGGCCGTGGCATCGGGATCGATACATCCCAGCAGCCCGGGCGACGAGGGGCCGGTGAGCGTCTTGGACTTCTTGACCACACCAGACATGACGTCCCTCGGCAATGGCCCTCCATCCCCTAGTCCCGATCCTGCGACTCGCGCGCGCACAAACGGCACCGCGTCGACTACAGCCACCGCCGAGAATGGTGTCTATTTCGGCTTTGTCAATCTGACCAAGCCGAAAAGCATGCTCAAGGCCAATGGTACGGAGTCTTTGAAGTACTGCACCATTGTTTCCATCCTCTTCTTCCTCTGGGGCCTGTCGTACGGCCTCCTCAACACCCTCAACAACGCGGTTGCTGCCGTGAACGAAATCACCCCCCCCCAGACTCTTGGTCTGACGAGCGCTTACTTTGGAGGTGGCTACTTCTTTGGACCACTGCTCGTGGGCGAATGGATCCTGCGTCGAGATGAGCACAACCGCACCAAGCGCCACGGCAAAAACGGCGCCGAGAGCGTGGGTGGATTTAAGGTAACCTTTATCGTCGGTCTCTGCATCTACGGCATGGGCACTATCATTTTCTGGCCGTCGGCCGTAACAAACTCGTACGGCGGATTTATGCTGAGCAACTTTGTCGTCGGCTTCGGGCTCTCGGTGCTCGAAGTCGGCGCCAACGCCTTCATGATTCTTTGCGGCCCGCCAGAGTACGGCGAGACGCGCCTACTTCTGGCCCAGGGCGTCCAGGGCATCGGAAGCGTCATCAGTGGCGTACTGGCGGAGAAGGTGTTCTTCAAGGGAATCGCGCAGGACAACATGTCGAACAGCATGACGCTCATCAATGTGCAATGGACATATCTCGGCATCACCTTGCTATGCGTCGTCCTCGGCCTCTTCTTCTATTACATGCCCCTGCCAGAGGTCTGCGACAGCGAGCTGGAGCGGTCGGCAAGCCATCTGCCGGTCGACCCTCAAAAGCGAAGCATCGGTGGTCTCCAGCTGCGGACCGTGAGCTTGGCGCTGGCTGTCTTTGCGCAGTACACCTACGTCGCCGCCCAGGAAAGCAACAGCATTTACTTCCGCACTCTTCTCATATCGGTACTTCCCAGCCATCCACAGGTGGGCGGCGGCGAGCCCGCCTACGACCCAGACAAGCCACCAGGCGTCGGTCTTTCGATTCCGGATTACCTGCTCGTGGGACACTCAGTGTTTGCCATGTCGCGCTTCCTGGTAGCCTATCTCACATATCTATCCGTAACACATCCTCGCCTCCCGCAGCCCCGAACCTATCTCACCATCAGCGTTGTCCTGGCCTTTATATGCGCCCTTCTCCCTGTCGTGCTTCGCCCTCCCAACCCCACTTTACTCGTCATCCCCGTGACGCTCATATTCTTTGCTGAGGGACCCATCTGGCCGCTGATCTTCGCAATCGGCCTGCGCGGCCAAGGCCGAAGGACGAAGCGTGCCGCCGCTTTCATCACCATGGGCGGATCCGGACCGGCCTTCTTCCCGTTTATTATGTACGGCATCATCACCACTGGTGGTTCCGTGCAAATAGCCTTCATCGTCGTCATCGCCCTCCAGGTTGCCTTGATTGTCCACCCCTTGTTCTTGGAGCTCTGTGGGGATGCAAGGCGACTCGTCGACCCCTGTCCGGACCTGCGTTACGCCTTGCGAAACGACGACGCATCAGCGGACGAGGTCGTGGCTGCTAGGCACACGGATAGCAGGAGCACCAGGGAGAGGGCGAGCGATTTCTTCCACAAAGCATCGAAGGGGTTTGAGACGAAACTCGCCACCGGCCTGCGCAAAGCGTCTGATGCGGAGCACAGCGAAGGCAGCGCCGGGAGCTCGCCACGAACGACATGATTTACGTCTTGTAGAGTACAAAAGTTTACAGGGCCTCGGGGAAGGTGTCGTAGTATGGATTGCGCAATTACTGTGGGGCGATAACATCGGACATGCAGGCGTGGGAAGAGCCGGCGCGCTCTCGTGATGATATACCCAAAAATACCCACCACGGAGAAGGGAAGCGATTTGGATTTGCTTAGCTGTACACTTGGTATAGTATTCACGAATGGACGCACATTACTAATGAGGACAAGGGCGGCTTGAGTGGCAGTGTAAAGTTGCAGACCTTGTAGCCGGAGATGGTGACAGTCGGAACGCTTCCCGCGCGACCTACAGTTCCCACAGACTCGACTCACCAGGCCCTCGCTGCATACAAGTGCAGGGGCGTTCATTTTGTTGGGCCGAGGCTGGGGAAAAGGTATGAGATCAAGTTGACGGTGAGGGCTGATGGAAAGGCGCTTATTGTCGACCAAGCAGGCCCCCAGTCTTTTAAGGAAAAGGGGAGTGACAGATGGCGGTCATCGAGTGAAATAACTTCGTTCTTTTAACACTACGGGTCTCTAGCCAAGACGGCCCCCGAAACGCATGTCCAAGAGCGTGGCCGGGGTATATACAAGAAAGAGATGTCGTTTCATTCTTTGCCCCGTCGCTACCATCCAAAACGCTCGCAATGAAGCTCCACGCCAGGTCCTTCGGGCTGTATGCACTGTGCGGTCGTGTTTCGCACCTGCGTCATCAGCTCGTCCGGGCCGCAGCAGAGCACCAGAACTCTTTGGCTTGCCGGCGTGTCGGCGATGGCGGCGCGCACCAAGGCACCAGCGTTGGGCCGTTCGTACGTGATGGGCACGCCATGAGCGTTGGCTGGTCGTTGGTGTCCAACTCGTGTCGCTGACGTTTCTGTCTCGGATGGCATCGACTTCTCAGACTTGACCGAGAAACCCGAGTCTCGAGACTGCATGCTGGGGGTTCTGGCCTTTTCCGGGTCCAGCTCGCTTTCTTGCGTCAATGAACTCGGTGACGGCTGCGGCTCTGCGTTGCTGGAACTTGGACCTTGCGAAGCCAACTCCCTGGTGACGAATAGCATCGTCGAAACGCGGCCGTCGGCCCTGAGGGTAATGAGATGGTCATGGAACCAGTCCAGATCCGCTGCAGCAGGGTCAGACTTTTGTGCTTCTTGTGACCGGCAGGCGTGGCAACACTTACAGCTGTGCTTGACGGCCCATATGAACACGACGTGTTTGCTTTCGTCCCTCTGCAGCTTGCTGAGCAGGTCGAGAGCCACGCCAAAGGTGAAGCTGGCCCCGCTGCCCCCCGCCACCAGGACGACAGTGTCGTACCCCGTGGCATCAGGAATGGTCCCGTACGTGCCCTCGACCGAGGCCTTGAGCGGGACGCCGGGGTGTGACACGGCGTACGTGTGCAGGTCGCGCGTGAAGCCGTTGTGCGACGCCACGACAAACTCGAGGGGGTCGGTGGACGAGACGGTAAAGGGATGAGCTTCGCAAGGCCGGACCCTGGGGATCCACAGGAAGCAGTGCTTCCCAGAGACGAGGCCAAAGGGCGGCTTGGCCAGCGTCACGCGCGTGGTCTGGTTCGGCAGTGGCGTGAGCTTGACTGAGTTGTTGGTGCTGTAGAGGGCCAGGCGGGCCAGGCGGAGCAGGCGGTCGAGGAACCAAATGGCGCCGACAAAGATGGCGACGACAATGGCCTTGCCCCCAAGGTCGGGCTGGTGGAGGCCTATCATGACGAATGACAAGACCCAGAAGACGACGTGGACGTAGTAGAAGAGCTCATACCACCAGCGACGGATGACTGCGCCGGCGAACCCGAGGATCAAAAGAGACAGCCCGGCGACCATGCCGTAAATGTCCTGGACGTGGAGGAGACGCTCCACGCGGCCGCTCTGGACAAAGTACGCAGAGTAGCAGCTGGCGTGGATGATGACGAGGGAAACCATCGTGTACCCGGCCACCTGGTGGAGGACGTTGAGCCGCTCGTACGACCACGCCGTTAGAAACGCCAGCGGGGTGTTCTTGAGGGCCAGGACGACGACGACGACGAGATTGCCCAGAGCAAGCCTGTGTTCGTTTGCCTTTGGTAAGTCCAGTTCGTATGACCTCCAACTCGGGGTAGTGGATGTGTGTGTGGTGAAATCGCTTACCATGCTGCTCTCGACGCCACGTTGGTCACCATGGGCAGGGTGTCGCGGTTTATTCTCACAAAGGCGATGATGAGGTTGATGGCCACGTATAAGCCGACGACGGCTACGTGGCCCACCGAGGGTAGCAACCAAGCGCTGCGCAGCGCCCAATTCCTGCCCCTTCTGGTTCGATTGGGACTGTACGTCAGAATGCGTGTTTTCCTCCCGGGGCTTGTGTCGACTTACCGGGAGAGGCGGGCGACGAGGCCTGGCTTGGAGTCTTGCTGAGCAGACCGGCCCTGGCGTTTTCCAGGACGTCGCAGCTGGTGCGTCAGGGCGAAGCCCGTGGCGATGGCGAGCATCGAGAGGATAAAGGCAAGCATGAGCTTCTCATTGTAATGGGCGCGGCGGGCAAGCAGTGCGTGAAAAGCTGCTTGGCTTCCTCCGGAGCTGCCAGCCATGGTTTATGGCTGTGGATGCAAGTGCTGGCTGAAGAAACGACCTGTCTTTTGCGGCAACTGAGGATCGAATCCGCCAGTTCTTTGCAGAAAGGGAGTGGGGGAGATGGGGCTCTTTAAGAAGATGTAGTGTGGTGAAAAGAGATGGCTCTGTGTCCGTCCCGTCCGTCTTTCCGATCGTGGGCTGACTCGGGGATGGAGATGCCCAGGAAAGAGGAAAGTGACGAAGAGCAGCGAGTTCCCGTTCGTGACTTCTTCAATATACCCGTCAAGGGAGGCAGTCCTCTGCGACACAAGATTCCTTCATCAGACTTTACTTTGTTTGCTGGATGGATCACAAGGCCAGAAGAGCCAACGAGTCAAGCACCAGACGTAATCGTCGTTGAAAGAGTTCAGCCTTGGCACATGATGGCAGTGTGTGTCTCGGCGTGCCACTTCAATCGATAGTAAAGAGCTGAGGGGAAGCAGAGAAGCTGGAGACGGGGTTATCGCGAAAAGCCGGGTGGGAGTGACCGGAGAGCTTGCCGAGTGCGAGGAGGCAGCGGCACATGCAACATATTTAGCACTGACGAGGAGGAGGAGGATGGCGGCTCTTATCTGAAGCCGGCAGCTTGGAGGGGGGGGACCACATATATCCGCGCATTTTGGTTTTTGAGCAGGAAGAAAGAGGGTGGGCTACGATGGGCAAAGATGAAAGGGCGACAGTGAAGATCCGGACGACTGGAGGTCGAGCCAAGGGTCGAGCCAAGGGCCGAGACTCTCTCTCCACCCCCTCCCCCTCCTGCTTTCATATCCTGCCCGGGTACGACGACGTGGGAGGGATGGAATTCCGCGGCCCCGGAAGAACAGTTAGCAGTCAGCTAGCCGACCAGTCTTCTCCACCGCGTTAGGACTTGCGTGGTCTGTTCTTGCTGCTGCTGCCGCTGCTGCTGCTTCAAGTCAAGCTCGGATGGATTGGCTGGCCACGCGCGCCATCCGGAATCCGATTTTGGACGGGTACCGCGCGCCTCGTCTTGTTTGCCGGGTGTCAGGAACAGGAGAGACGTTACACGGCGCTGGCCCTGCGACTCTGGGAGTCCTGCGGCTTGGGCCCGTGAGGCGCCCGACCCGAGGCCTTTTTGTCGGAGAGAAAGCTGGACAGATGGATAGATGGATGAAGAAAGACAAGGCCGTAAATACTAAATAGGGTTCGACAAGGCCCGCAAAAAAGGGGCGCGTAGAGACGGTCCGTGGCGCTAAGCACTGCTTCCCTTTGGAATCTAACCCTGAGCATCGAAGCTGCAGAGCATTCCAGCCCTCTCGGACCGGCCAGCAACCCTCTCGATGGGCCCTTTGCGCTCTGCTTGCTCGGTTTGCTCGGGGCTGGCGGCGGCGCGACCCCAAGTCGCTGATAACACGGTGAGCAAGGGAAGGGGGTGCTGCGTGATGCTGCATATCCGCCCTCCCCAAAGTGGAAGGACAGCGACGAGTGAGCCTGGATCCAGAGATTGCCAGGTGCGAGGCTATGATGGCGCGAGAATCTTGTCTGCCTGTCTGTCTGCCTGCCTTCCTGCGTCGGGCTCCCGCAGCTTGTCCGCATCAATGTCACACCAGACATCAAGGGAGGTCACGGCTGCAGAGAACATCAAGTATGACCCCTCCCGGTATCTCATGGTGGCCCGGAGGACTCGTCTCACATCGACGCCATGCGAAACTCGACACCTCTGTTGCGAGCAAAAAAAAAGAGCCCACCGAAAGTGTGCGTTTGTGTGTCAAGTGTCACCCAGGAAGCCAAGGACCAGATGAACCTTGTCCGTACGTCATGGTCGTCCCCCATGTGGACCACAGTCTGGGGGCGAATCTGGTCGGCGTTTCTGTTTCCGAGGGATATACGGGGGCTTTATTCATTGCCGGCATGAAGCATGATCGGCCCCCGGATATAAAAGCGCGCGTATCGGCCCCAGCATGTGCATGTGGGCTGCCAGCACGTGCATGTGGGCTGGGACGACGACCTTCAGAAGACAAAAACGAAAGGAATGGTGACAAATCATAGAGCCAAGATACGAATCCGTCTTTTCGACCTGCGAGCCGCATGCTCGAGCACGTTCGGTGCATGAGATATCTGGGGCATCAGCGATTCGGCTCGGAAGCCGAACGCTTCTTTTTTTAGCGCAAACCATGGAAGGGCGGAGACTCTTCTGAGCTTACCAACCGCCTCTGCCTCTCTCTCTCACAAGGCTCCCGCTTGGCAGGGGTCAGTTTTGGCCGCCTCCGTCCACCCCACGCTCTCTGGCGGTGATGATTCAGTTGGGAGGGGGCACGCTGCACCAGGACTGGACAGCTGGATTCACGGCCGTCTCCGATGCCCCCCTTCCCTCGGTCGATGTGACGTTGAGATTGGACTTGCTGGCAGTTTAAGCCCAGACTTGTCATCGGAACACGTCGATTTACCCGTTGCTGCTCACGTTACATTGTGACCGGCAGGGGTGAGCAGACGCCAAACGGGACGGCGTCAGTTGGTTATTAGCAGGCTATCTCGGAAGACATGACATGTTTCCAGGAAACGAGGTGTCTGAATGCCTCGCCTCCCCCTTGCTCGCTACAACCACACAAGGCGTTGCTACCTCGACAAAATGAGGCAACTCCAGTTATATCTTCGTTGTAATACAAACACTCTGGCACGAGAGCCATCCACATGGACACACCTCACAACAAGCTACATTGGATGACGTGCTTGCTGCTGGCCGACACGGACGTCACACGGGGTTGCATCAGCTTCAAGGTGGTCAAGACGCATGTACCAATGCCACCATCCAATTACTCAAGAGCGTTTCTGGAAGTGCACCCCTCGAAGCGGTCTGTGGCGACATGTTTAGATTTGGGGAACTAATATCAAGAAGTCGACGCCATCAATGCTGCTTCCCCTCCACGGCTTGAGAGCCAGCTTCTCCAGGTGTCAGTGATGAGACTTCCACCTACGTTGATTCAGGAAGTCCCTTCGCTATCTCCAATGCCTCTTTGAAATCGTCGATAATTTCGACCTCGGCTGGGGTTGGTTCACAGTCCACCGACAACTTCCTTTGACCGTAATGGATATCCATGCAGCGTTCGCAGACCGGAGATATCTTCCTCTGCAATGTTGCATGAGAGTACTGCCCGGCCCAGAAATCCACCCAGTTCGCGATCCTTGCTGCCTCGCTCCAGTCGGCCGGACGTGTCGACAGTCTCATGATGCAGTTTTCCAGTTCTTGAATGGTCCGTTCCACGGTTTCGTGGGCGGGAACCTTTCGGCCTGTGGTTTCTGTGCCGGCCATGGTGGCGACTGGGGTTGGTTGCGTCTTGAATGAGTTTGGTTTGTCTGCGTTGAGTCCGTGTACTGAGGCGCTGTAATTCGGGCGGGCCGCACACTTGCAGATATCGCGATGGGCTGAGGGCAGTGTATGAAGACTGGAAGAGGAGGTGGGAGTTATCGATGTGTGGATCGAAAAGAGTTGAAGTGTCCCGGCGAGGCTCTTATACTTGAGAAACATGACACCGTCCGAAGCTGTTCCTCTTCATTTGCCGCTGTTCACGGGATGTTTCTTGTCCTGAATTCAGCCTGAATAGGAGGCAGAACGCTCCCGGAGCACACAAAGAAGCGTGTTCGTGGCCCATAATGGCTCTGATTTAAAAATTATGCGCGGCTGCTTCGCGGCTTAGACAAAGGACACTCGCCGAACAAGCCCTGTCCCAGCCCATCGGTGCTGGTCTCCCGGCTGTGCGACGGCGATTGATTTCATACTCGGTCACAACGCATATTGAACACTTGACTCAACTGGACAAAGGTGCTCAGCGCGGCCTCTTTCTTGTTGGAGTTATCTGACCATAGGAGACCGTAACTTCCTGGGACATTTTTCTCTCCCAAGCTGCAGTGTTTGTGATTGAAATCGCCGAGTTACTGCCAGGTCCTCCGTCCCCCAGTCTGGCATCGAGCATAGTTGGGAGCACTTTTCCCGCGTCTTGGACCAGCACAGCCATGGGGACGAGGCACACTCAACTGCTCTATCGCTGGGTAGGATCACAATATACACTCACGATTTGGTTACTAGTAGTTGCAGAAGATACGGCGAGAACAACTGCAGCGTGAGCGTGAGCCCGGCGGCTATGTATGCTTTATGCCCATCTGCAAATAACTGTTCAGCCTCATACATACAATGACGCACGTGCATGCGAGTCGAAAGGCAAATGCATGCCTCATCACTGCGGTTATGGCCCCAAATCACACTGCATGCCAAAATGCAACGGTTGAGCCCTGTCCGGAAACCGACTGCTTAGCGAGCTCTGCATACACACGACACACTTTGCCAATATATTCGACAAGCCACCAAACTGCAGGAAGCTCCCGCAAGCCAGTTAGTTTGTCTTTTTGAACAGGGCTGTAGTGCCTACGTTCTCCTCTGATACTCGCAATGTTGCTGCCATGGGCGTCAAGCTTCGCTCTCTTGTTTGGCGCAAGTCTCGCCTCGACACCGGCGGCTCACGCCCGGGGTGATGGAGAAGTCACAAGCGCCCGGCCCAAGGTCATCCTTGACAACGACTGGACCACGACAGAGTTTAGCCCCTTCCTACAGGCGCTGCAGGCAGGCTGGGACGTTGTCGGCCTCATCGGCAATACCGCCAACTCGTGGGCCAAGCAGGCCACCCTCCACGCCTTGGCCACGCTTGAGATTGGAAACTTGACATGCATCCCCGTGTACCGAGGCGCCGACTACCCTTTGCTGAACAACCCGGGGCTTGCTCGGGCCTGGGGCCTCATTCACGGGAATCTCCCATACCAGGGGGCGTTTGCTCCTCAAAACGGCCCTTTGGAGCAAAAGGGCCACGACCCGAGCGGCGACGACCCCGAGAGGATCTCCAGGGCTGCATTGATGGAGGGTTTCCCAAATACGTCTCACGTCTTGGACGTCTGGGGCGCCGAGTTCCTTGTGCAGACGGTTCGCAAGTACCCCGGCGAGGTGACCATCTTCAGTGCCGGGGCCCTGACCAACATTGCCTTGGCCCACCGCATCGACCCGACGTTTGCAAAGAACACCAAGGGGCTGTTCGTCATGGGCGGGTACATGGACGGCAACCTCGTGCAGGTGACGGGGAGCACATACCTGGCCAGCCTGCAGTCCGACATCAACCTCAAGATCGATCCCGAGGGCAGCAAGGTTGCGCTCAGCGCCCCGTTTCCGAGCATCACGCTCATTGGGAACGCGGCGAACCAGTTCATCCCGTCTGAAGACTATCTGAACGAGTTGGCCGAAGTCGAGAACCCGTATACCAGGCTGATGCACAGATACTACGGTAATCTTGAATCCTGCAGCTGATTGACTCACCACGAGCTGAGACAAGTCCATCACACAGACCGCAGGTTCCCGTTCTGGGACGCAACAGCAGCAGCCGTGATGCTGGACCCTGGCATTGTCACAAACTCGACCGAGTTCTACGTCGACGTCGACACGAGCTACGCGTCGCCCAGCTACGGCACCATCCACGCGTATCAGGAGGCGCTCAAGCCCAAGGCGCAGACGCTGCAGAAAGTACGCATGGTCGTGTCTGTGGATGAGGAGAGGTTGAAGCAGCAGGTCAAAATGGCCTTGCAGTTTCCCCCAACCTGCGCTGACCTGTGATGAGCGAATCTTGTAGTCTGGTGGCCTGGGCGTTGTTCATGTCATGAATTCCTGCCGCAATCGAAAGGGCATCGGGCGCTGGGAGAGGAACCAGCATGGATATAAGCGCTCGGCTTACCTCCTTGGTAGAGGCCAAGCCACGCATGAACCAACGGCTTGGTGGCGGATACCAGGGCCAATAAGTTCTGTGCCCTTACGGATATAAGAATGATTCATATCAAATGGATCCTCGCGCATGGAATAAGGCGATTATTTGGCTGAAACCATCTCTTTTACTGGCATGTCCACCATCACTCACTCACCGCATCACCACATCCATTGCGCCCATACACGCCTTCTATCTTATGACGCGGACCTTTGATTGGACTTGTATTTGAACTCAGAATATACCAGCTCATCATGAAGACGCTCGGCCTGCTCGGTGGCATGAGCTGGGAATCAACCACCACCTACTACCAGGAAATCAACCGCCGAGTTCGTCAAGTCCAAGGCGGCCTTCACTCGGCCAAGTGCATCGTCTTCTCCTTCGACTTTGCCGAGATCGAGGCCCTGCAGCACGCCGGCGAATGGGACGAGGCCGGCAAGATGCTCGACGAGGCATCGCACAAGCTCAAGCTGGCCGGTGCCGATGCCATCGTCCTCTGCACCAACACCATGCACATGGTCTCTGGCGGCATCGAGGCCGCGTCCCATCTTCCCCTCATCCACATCACGGATCCTACTGCCGAGAGTATCCGAAAGGCCGGCTTCAGCTGCGTCGCCCTGCTCGGCACCCGCTTCACCATGGAGAAGGACTTTTACAAGTCCCGCCTGGCCGACAAGCACGGGCTGCGGGTGATTGTCCCCGGCGCCGAGGGCCGCGATGCCGTGCATTCCATTATCTACAAGGAGCTCTGCAACGGCATCGTCACCGAGGACTCCCGCGAGGTCTACCGCGCCATCATCCGGGACCTCGCCAGAGCGGGGGCCCAGTGTCTCATCCTCGGCTGCACCGAGATCGGCCTGTTGGTGAACGCAGCGGGGAGCGAGCTGCCCATTTTCGACACCGCCAAGATCCATGCCTACGCTGCTGCTGACTGGGCCATGGACGAAGCCGACTGAATTGCACGGGGAGAAACACGGGCATCATTGTGCGTCGCAAGTACGCCCTCCATGGCTGGGTCGCGACTACATATGGGGAAAAGGGACTCGCATAGACAGTCTCTCGAACAATCTCGTATAGACGTCCGACTTGAGAAAAAACTATGACTACCCAGCTTAGTTGTCTCTGACCGTGACTATTTACTACATGGGCTTCTATCTGCAGTCGACCGACAGACGTCAGACGTCTCGCTCAGAGCAGAGACCATCGTCCAAGTCATCGAATCGGCAGAGCTCGAAACCCCTTGGGCCGTCCATGCAGCTGCATCTTTGCCGGAAGCGCCACAAGCAAGTCGTCGGTGGCAAAGATGGACTGGTGGACCGGTTGGAGAATGGTGTCGCCATTGGCTGCTACGGTCCTCGTCAAGAAGCACGGTTCTTCGGTAATCAGCACCGGGATCTGGCGAGCGCGTTCGAACGAAGACAGCTTCTCGGCGCCCCTTTTCAGCTGCCCCAGAACATCTCCCTGGTTCTTCCACAGCTCCTCAAGCACGGCGCACAAGTCCACGAAGCATATGGGCCCGAGGCCGTGGTCTCGGCAGTAGTCTCGCAGCGTCCCCACGTCTCCAGCGTCGGGGACGCCGTGAGCAGCGATGAACCTGAGGAAGAGAATCGAAGCAACGCGGTTGTTGCCGTCAACCACGATTGGTCGGCTCTCATGGCTCGAGGAGATGGGATAGCCGTAGGCGACGGTCACAGGCGCGACGGAGCATATCTTGCCACCCAGCGCCATCATCTCCTGCACCATCCCTACCACAATGGCCGGGGTGGCAAACTCGGAGCGGCCCAGGCTGTCCATGTCAACGTACGAGTACACCAGCTGCTCATCCCCAGCAAAGTGGATGTACGCCGTATGCTGCACTTCGGCATGTGCCATAAACGACGATTCAAGAGCGAGCTGCGCGGCAATCTCCTCCCAAGTCTCCGGGGCCAGATTCATGCTTTCCAGCTCAAACTTGAGGTCGTTGAGCATCGAGACGAAGAAGCGGGCCTGGTCCTTGACGTCTTTCCGTGGTCCGCCGACGGGGTCCTTGAGGAAGGCGTAAATTTGCAGAAACGACTCGACCCCCGAGAGGGACCATGTCCGGACTCTTGCGACAAAGTCGTGTAGCGCACGGGTCCAGAGCATGCGACTCGGGTTCTGCTCCTTGGCCTCTGTCGCATACGGCACCACACGGCAGACAAAGTTGCGGGTGTCTGCGGGGAGCTCGGCAGGGGTTCGCGAGGCGTCCATGTCGAAAGTGATGGCTCTAGTCAGCGTATGGGTATGGTTCTTGAGCTTTCCCGCCACGCTCAGCCAGCTGTCAATAACATCATCTGCGTTAAGCAATTGCTCGATGAGCGGAAGCGTGACCTGCGGGATCCTTCGTGGCCCGACGCAGGACAGCATGTACTCGACTCTGGATATCTCCATGTTCGCATGGCGAGTTCTTGGTCCATTGGCAGTGGTGAACAGCACCTCGGCTTCTTCCGCCGTCGGATAAAGGGAAACGGGATAGGCCGCGTATGCCTGGGCTGCGATTTTGCGTATCCTCTGCTGCGCTAACCGGCAGAGCAACCATGGAGCCGGGTACTCGATATCTTGGTGAGGAGTTTTAAGACAGCCGGGGGTGTCGTTGCCCCACTGGTCCGTCTCATGGCAGCATGCTTCGGTGGACTCGATGGATATGAAGCCATATTCGATTGGCTTCTCCAGTGTCGGCTGCGGCGTCTTGATGCCCTCGAGAGTGAGGCTTCTCGGGATGGAGCTCCCCTCCTTGCACAGCACTGAGCGCAAGCAGGCGGCCAGTCGGACGTATTGATCCAGCGAGTTGTACGACTGAACCGACAGCCGAATCACTCGTTTGGGATAAGAGGGCCAAGCATACACCGGAATCACAATGCCGTGCTCCCGCCAGAGGGTCTGCTGGATAGGCAGCATCCCCTCGCGCTCTGGTCCAGTAGAGTCGGGCAACGGAATGGAGGCCATGTTTCCGATCATGCTCTCTGGACACGGAACCGGGACATTGAGTGCTTGGCAGACCATCTTCCGCGCAATGACTGCCAGCCTATGGTTTCTCCTCGTGAGGGCTTTGTATCCGCCTGGGAGCAGGGTGCGGAGGAAGTTGATGGACGAGGACAGGGAGAGCAGCGCAGAGACATCGTAGGTGCCCATCCAGGAGAAACCGTGCTCGAGAGTGGAGTATCGGGCCTTGTTGACCATGTAGGGTGACCGGGCAATAACGAGCGGCTTGATATTCTGCATGCGGTCTTGTCGAACGGAAAGGAACCCGACTCCCCGCGGACTGCACATCCACTTGTGACAGTTAGCCACGTAGTACGAAGCGCCGATGGCCTTGATATCCACCTGGATCATGCCAGGTGCGTGGGCGCCGTCGATGAGGGTGTCCACATTACGGGCCTCGAGGGCGCGCACAATCTTCTTGACGGGGAATACCAGGCCGGACCTGCTTGGGATGTGATCGATGACGGCAAAGCGCGTTCGCGGCGTGACATGAGCCACTATCTCGTACACGACAAACTCGGGAGACGGCACGGCGAGGGGTATCTCGACGACAACGAGCCGAGCCCCGTCCCGCCGGGCAACGTGCTCGAGGGCCAGGCGGACGGAGCTGTAGGCGTGATTGGTAGTCAGGATTTCGTCATCCGGCTTGAAACGCAGGCTCTGTATCACAGCGTTGGTACCGTACGTGGCCCCGGGGAGCAGGACGAAGCCGGACAGGTCGGCGTTGAGGAAGCTGGCCAGGGCCTCGCGGCTGGCCTGCAGCGCGGGCACGTAGCTCCTCTCGAAGAAGTCGTGCGGGTTGGACTCGATCCAGCGCCGAATCTCCTTTTGCGTCTCCGCCACGGGCACGGGACAGGCGCCAAAGGCCCCGTTGTCGAGGTATTGTATGTCAGATCGTATCTCCCACTCGCCCAGGCCGTGGAGCAGCGTCGCGTCCACGTCTTCCGTCGACGGGTAGTGAGGATCCGAAGAAGCCTCGATCATCGAAGAGCCCATAACTAAGGCGGCTTTTCGGCTTTGATGAGCCGCAACCGAATTGAGTAAGAACTCTCGACGCGATGTGTAACCGCCTCCCAGTTCCAGCCAGAGAGCGTCGAGTTCTGGCGGTGGGCGGGCCAATCGTTTCTCAATAGAGAGAAGGGAATAGAGCAGAATCTACGGCAGGCCGGGCCCTGCTGCAGGCCAAAAAATGATAATGACAAGACTTTTTTCTTCCTTTGTCAAATCAAGGGACGAGGAGAATATCGAAGCGGCTTTGAGGGGGGGACGAAGGCGGACTCGACAATCAGCTTCATCTGTGTACAGACATGAGAACCCCGTCTCCGCCACGCCACCCAACCGTTCCCAAGGTTGTACCCCCTCGTAAGATGCGGTTCGTCGCAAGCATCCCTCTCCTCCAGCTACGCTCCCTGTTGGGGATCGCGCCGGCCAAAGAGGGGTGACATCTCCTGCCCGCTCAGGCTCACCGGGCCCTGCATCGCCCGAGCTGAGCCGATGATATCCTATCTTGCGCGGTCCTGGCCTGGCCAAAGGGGTTCTTTTGGGCGCCGGCGTCTGTGTCAATGAGGCAGCCGACGAGCCGACGCTCCCCGTCCGGCGATCGGTCTGCAACGCGGGCGGAGCAGGCGTGCAGCTTCAGGGATTGCCAAACCTGCAGGACGCATGGGGAGGGTCCAACCCCCTGTGATTGGCGGTTCGTGGGGCATGGCTGAGCTGGCTTCATGTGGAGGGAAAAGAGGGAGCCATTCGGATGATCCGAGAGGGGAACCTCGGGCAGGGTGCTTGGAGGTTGCCTGCCTGTTATGGCTGACTGGGCATCCGTGACGATGGCTCTGGCCAATCCACGAAAGACTCGCATATTGGGATGCCATCTCAGAGCAGACCCTTCCGCCGCTCTCCGCTGGAGATAACAGTCGAGAGAATGGTTCGCTGGTGGAACCATGTCGTTGTTTGCGGGGCCTCGCGACTTTGATCCGCCTGTCCATTGTCTTCATTTCACGATTGGCTCGCAGTGAAGTCATAGTGTTGCTTTGTGATTGAGGCTCGCTTTCGAGAGGGCTCCCATCCCCTGTCACTTGGCCGTCCCACTTCCGTATGCCCGTGCCGTACTACTCCCACCCTGTCCCTTGATTCATTGAAAAGGTGATGGAAGCTATAAAGGCTTCAATAGCCGCCGTCCTGGCCCTGCCTGGCGGACCAACCGCAAGTATCTGCCAAGCCGCTTACATGTAGTCAATGCAGACAAGGCTAAGCTAGACTCCAAACTCATGGAGAACATTCTGATCGGCATATCTATTCATATATGGTTCCATGATGGGGAGGTCACTCGTCTACTTTGCTCGTCTAAGGTTACTCTGTAGTTCTTGTGCCCCATGTCAAGTTTGATACACAAGGCTTGCATCTATATGTCTACTGTACTGTACATGTTCACATCTAACCAGGCATTGGCTTCAGTACATCCCTCGGACGTCATTTGTGATCATCAACGTGCATCTACCCATCCAAGGCCACCGGGACGCCACTGTCTATCCTTTGGAGATCTGTCACTCCCCCGAAGCCTAGTCGTACGCAGATGAGTAGCCGTAAATCCTTGCCTGCGCAGCCACACCGCCTGCAGCACTGCACCCCGCGCCTGGCTGCACCGGATGTGATGAAATCCGGCCTAACACGGAAAAGAAAGCCAGCCGGTCGCAGCGTGAAGAAGCCTTGAGATGAAGCTGGAGCGCAGGCGGTTTGCGGCGTCTGTGGCTGGTAAAGAACCATGGTACCTGTAGTAGTGAATACTTTAACCAGATTATTCAGCTGGGGCTTTTAGTCTCTATAGGACAAGGGTTGCCCGTCCGAGATGGGTTTCTCATATAACCTTCAGTCTTTCCCCAGGCATTCCCACGCTGGCATCCCCTGGCCATACAAGAATGCGCGAGACTGTCTATTCCTTCTCTTTAGTATATATTCTTATGTAACGTAAGTTTCTTGGTGCGCGGTATTTAAAGCATACCACGTTACTGTAGACATTTGTTCGCAGGTTTCGTTATAGTGGCTTTGCAACTATTAGAGCGAAGTGAGTCGGCATAATTTGAACATTTTAGCGAAGACTTTACCTCTGCTTTACGCATCTTACTACTCGGAGAATGTTAATTCCCCTTGCCAAGCAATGCAGCAAATAACGAGAGCCACCTCTCCGGTAGACGACCCCAGACCGCCACCAAGGAGCGCTTAGTGTGAAAGGCCTCTAGTGAGTTGATACAACTAACTAGTCCCTATGCTGTTTACTATCAAGATAGAGAAGAAAGAAAGAAAGAAAGAGAATCTACTACATGAGAGCACAATAGCATTTTATAGCTTCGAGCCAATGGAAGGTTCTAGAAGCTAGGCGGCGCAGCCGCCGTTAAAGCGGCTTGCCCGTTACACTTAGAGCTTAACACCAAGCAGGGGGATGAGCAGGTTGATAATACCCCGCCAGAGAAACAATCTTAGACGCAGAGCGGCTACCCAATTGTCGACGGCAAATACCTCGATAGGAATGGAATCGTTAGGGAGATCGAGCCCAACGAGTGGTCAGTCGCCGGCCCACCCGCCTTGGATGTATACTGGAACAACCGGAAAGTCACGCCTGCTCTCGAAGACGACCAGTTTCGCGCTATAACATTAAGCGCCTTTGTTACCGTGACGGAATACTCAAGTCGCGACGGCGAGCTTCTAAGGGCGGCGGCAGGGTCATGTACAATTATAGCACTTAACGCGACGCTATACTCTGTGAACGTGATTGTTAGTACGAACTTGTCGGGACGGAAAATGCGGGATCTCCTGTTGAGGCATCACCTTGCGCCAGCTCTTTAGACTGTTTCGTGGTTTAATGGCAACTGGCATTTCCTGTCAGTTAAGATTGACCAGTTGCCGTGGATGACAGGATGATTGGTTGCTTGCTCTAGCTTGTTCTTTGATAAGATTGGCTCTTCGTCGTGCCTATGCCTCCATCATCTGGTCTCGCAGATCTTCTATGCAGGCTTTAAGCTTGACGCGGTCTGATTGTTCTGCCCGACAGGGTAGCCTAACTCAGCCGCAAAACAGATTCCTACGGAAAGCAGGGTCCGGGGGTTGGGGCCAGACGACGCTTGGGAAGTAAAAAACGGCTTATCTCCTACTTCGGTACGTTCGTTAGCACCGACGCCATTCGCTCAAATAGTCACTCATCGACGTCACTTATTAATATACTCTTAAGACACTAAGACATATATATACCTGTACATCGAGCCTGGCTTATGTTAAAACCCTTATATGGTGCTCCAAGGGAGAGTGATTTCATCAACGGGTTTTCCGAGACAAGGTCCAGAAGGGCTTGGGCTCTGGCAACAAGGCCATTTGCACCGTGGAGTCATGTATCAAGTTTGCAAGGGCGGCCCTACAAACCGACGACATCACCCCGGTCGATAGCCAGGGCTCCAACAGCTTCACTTTCGTCAGCCGCAGCCTTGAACTCATCATTCAGCTTCGCTTCTTCGCTCTCCGGACAGATACATCCGGCTGGCTAGCGAGGTCCACGGCCATCTCGCACCACAGGCCACCTTCCATGAGAGCTTCCCCTTGCCTGCTTACAGTGCCAAGGCCCTGTCCAGAAGGGTCCATCTGCTCCGGCCATTCCCCGAGGGCGGCTTTCCCCTGGCGAGGGAAAAGGTCACCGTCCGAGAGCTGGCATATTTTGTCGCGAAAACAGCGTTTCTCGAACAACCAAAAACAATTAGTGGATGTCAGCTGGACGACATGCGCCCAAAATACGCTTCATCGCCTGTCGAAGAACGCGTCTCTGGCAAAAGTCGCTCTTGAACTCTCCCATCTCATCACCAACACTCTACAGCCGCAAGCACATCTGCTCGAGGCGTTGCCAGCCGTCCTCACGCACCGGGACCTCTCCAGGTCAACATCATCGTCAACGATTCAGGCAACGTGATGGGAGTCATTGACTTTGACGAGGCAGGAATCGAAGCCTTTGGCATGTGCACATGGAGCCTCTATGAATGCTTCTTTGGCAGCATGGAAGATGGTAAGTGGTCCTTCTACAACATGCCGGCCCAAGACCCTACCCATGGGGGACAGACCGTTAGACAGGTGCTCGAAGAGACCTTCTTGGAATCCCTGTGGGCCAACACTCCTACGCACCTGAAGCGCCAAGATGTAGAGCTGGCAGTCAAAATATCCCTGAGTATTGGCATCATCAATAGGTACTTTATCAACGACATGATGGACAACATTGACCCGTCAGTGAGCGTTCATCGCTTGTCGCTCGTGTATGCTAGGGGGGTTTTGCCTCATGTCTGGGGGCGTTACCTTTGGAGGCGGTTCTTGATAGCGACCAGCCTTACATCCGACAACATGTCAATGTGTCATACATAGCAAACTCCATTTGTAGCTGGCCACCACAGTCGCCCGTTCTAGCGATAGGTTCTCCTCGCAGTGACGCTTAACGTTGGTTATTCTTGCTCGCTAGTTCCCAGAGAAGCTTCTTGAAGTCCGCCACAGACGGCTCTAGCTCCTTGAGAAGCACAGCGTCTTCGAATACTAGCTTAATCGTCTCCGTATCCTTGGCCATACGCTCCGTTTTTGTCGTTCCGTTGAGGACCTGCGTATTTCCTAAACAAAGAATTAATACATAGAAGGCCAGCCCCTTTTCTACTTGCAGCTTGTCCGCCACGGACGAAACTACGGCCGACTCGAGAACCTTGGGGTTGTGCGCGAGCATCCAAAATGCCTGATAGGTGATGCAATGATCCGCGCAAAACGTCCTAACATCTAGGTCAAACGAGGTCTCCTTGTAGAAACGGTTTTGCACGATGACGGGCTTGACTGTCGCGGCGGCGTAGATGCTCTGAAGCTGCGGCAGGTGGATGTTGGAGACGCCTAGGTAGCGGATCCTTTCGGGCACGAACGTCTCAAACACCTTCCACGCTGTGATATTGTCGTCGTCCTTTTCAAAGGGCACGTGCAGGAGAAGCGCATCGACGTAGCCGACCTCGAGGTGCTTCAAGGTCTGGGCAATGGACTCTCTGACCTGGCCCTCGATGTCCTGGTCCGGGTTGAAGGGTATCCTGTCCTTGTCATGTGCCCAGACTGGCGTAAACTTGGACTGGATCTAAGCGCTCATCAATGTCAGAGAGCACAGCCATCTGTAAACACCAGCGCTGGGTACCCACGAAGAGATGCTCGCGTTTGAGGCCGCGCCGGAGAGCGGCCGCGATGGCTTTCCCTGCCAGCGGCTCATTGTAGGCGGTAGGGTAATTGGCCGTGTCTACGCCACTAAAGCCGTGCTCCATGGCGGACTCGGTGAGCTCTTCCGTCTTGTTCTCCTTCCAGGCAGTTCCGTAGATCATCAGCGGGCCGAGGCCTGACTCCGCCGGGGGAGCCCTCGACATGTTTGCAGAGTGGCGGTAGCACTACTCCTCTCGTCTTGGTGAGCGGGGGTTGAGAGTTCCCAAGGCAGCCGCTCCGTCGCCGTCGGCCAAAAAAGATTTATCCTTGCCCGATCGTCTGGCGACACGTGATGAGAGAATCAGTAACCAATTGCCCAAGTCTGCAAGCATGTTGGGCTGCCCAACTGACCCAACTACCTACCTACTGCCCCCGTCAACACATGTCGCTGGGCCCGAGCTGAGTCGAGTGCCTGAATCGCGGCCTGGTTCTGTTGTAGATTCTTCAGGATGAAGTACTTCCTGAAGTATGACCTCGGAACTACATCCATCGCCCCTTGTATTCCGCTGAATATCTTGATCGCGTCGTTGATGCTCTAGCTTGAATTATGTTTGATGTCAGCATACACGTATCCACCTGAACAACGTTGGTGGCCGATGCATACAGGGCCTTTTCGGGTTGGCCCAGCCTCTCTCTGATAGGTACATCCGAGCCCGTAGTAGCTGATGCCGGTGTCATTTTTTCAGGTCCCATGAGACGGAGCCTGATTTCCAGTTTGATCAAGTGCATCTTCAAGCTGTCGTCGACCTGCCCACACGCAAAGAGGAGATCGGCGTAGGTGAATCGAAACTGGCTGGATCTGTAGTCATACGCGCCGTTTGCACTTTCAGCCAACCCCAAGGCTTTCCTCGAGTTCTCTCTGGCCTCCTGTAGCTCGCCCTTGCCCATCTGTACTCGAAATATGGTATCGTAGCCTCGTGGACCCCGATCGTCTTATTGAAGTTCAGGGACTTCTGAAATAACGAAAGAGCCTTTTCAAACCTTTCAAGGGACAGCTGGGCAGCGGCAGTGTTGTTGTAGGCATTGACAAGCTCACGCCGCTTATCTGGCGATGCACTGGCTGCCTCGGCCATGTACCGCTGGCGCACGCCAAGGGCCTGCCGGAAGAGTTTTGCACACACTCTTCGTCTCTGGAAGTCTTGCAATCTCAAGGCACTTAGTATGGTGAGTATGTCGGCATGAAGCGGATCGGGCTTGCTGCTGCTGAACATGCTCTGATACGCTTCCAAGGCGTGTGGAGTGACCTCGAGTGCATGCTTGGCTCTCCGTTCTCACAAATAGCAGGTACAGTTTCACAGCATGTCGACGAACGCTCAGGGTATCTTGCCCGCCGGTCGTCCAGTCCGGGCAAACTCTTCTTGCAGGCAGACGACGTGCGGAAGCCATCGTTCGCACCCAGCCCATTGCCGAGACACGGTGCCCCCGTCTGACGGCCTCGGGGGAAATATACCGTGTAGGAGAGTGACGGCGCCCTCGACGGCTTTGAGCCAGGGCGACGCCTCTCGTGAATCGAGAGTGTTCAGCACGTGAAATTTCACAGCGCGATGTATGCGCAGCTTCTTCTTCGCCGGGCTCGACTTAGGCATGTTGTTTGACAGGGGAATCCGTACCCCAACACGCAGCCCGCGCCTCAGAGACTTTGGAGGGTCTTGGCAGGGTCCCTGGGAGGATCCTTGGCAGAGTCTCTGGCTAGCCCTCTTCTTAATTAGATTATACTACGAAGTTCTATTAAGTTACCTTAAAGCTTAATTAGGACGACGAACCTCTTATATTACGATTCTACGATAGGCTTAAAGAAGAAGTTAAGGACGAGCTCTATAAGGAAAATCGACCTAATAACCTCTTAGACTATATTACTATAGTAGTATAAATCGATAATAGATAGTATATATAACGCTAAGAAAAGAAATAAAGAAGAGGAAACTAAAACCCTTTTTATAGGAATAACTTTAACCGACGCGCTAACTATAAAAAGAAGCACGAAACTCCTATTACTTATACCTATATAACTAACTTAAGTAGGATAGACCTAAATATAATATAAAAAAGTAAAGGAAAGTATTTTAACTATAGGAAACTTAAATATTACTTTAAAGAATATAGATAACCTTATAAAGAGAAGAAAACCTACTAGGCACTAGCTTTAAAAGGTAAGAAATACTTAAACGCTACTAATAGATAGGAACTAAAGTATAAACTCCTTAGTTAGACTATATACTATAACGATAAATATATAGTATACTTAAGCGATAAGAACGGTATTAGATAGTTCTTAAAGCTATTAAAAAAAACCTTATAATAATATAATAAAGGGATCTTAAAATATAAAAATAAGTTAAATTTATAAAACTAAAATACCCTTATCTTAAAGGAGTCTCTTAAAACTAAATTAAAAAGAATAGTAAATAATTCTAAGAAGATATATAAAATAAAAATCGATAATAATAATATATAGTCTATAAATAATATAATAAAGAAGATATAAATATAGCCCTTATACTTATAAAACTTAGATAATAACTAAAAGAGGAATAATAAAGTATTAACGATATAAGCTTTAAAGAATAAGAAATACTTAAAGAAATAAAAGATAAGAATAAACTTATACTACTACCCTTACTACTAAGGGAAAATACTATAATTAAAGAATACGCTTTATACTTTAAAGAATTTAAAGAAATACTTAAAATTAAAACTTAATAAATACCTTAAATTCTTATAAATAACTAATAAGCTATATTAATTCGGTATTAACTAGTACTATATAAAGAAGACTATACTATAGCTATTACTATAGTTAATATCTTTATAGCTTTATAATAAGAATAGTAACTATAAGGAGAATTTAAAGATAACTTATAAATACTACTTACTTATAAGTACTATAAGTATATTTTATAGATATTATATATTTACTTAGATTATATAATATACTTTTAATTAAAGGTATAATATAACGCTTTCTTAGTTAAGTTTAAAGGATAAGTGCTTTCGAAACCTTACTTAAGTATAAAACTAAACTACTAGAAAATCGATTAACGTTACCTAAATAACTAAGTTATATTATTAAAACCTAATTATAGTATACTACTTAAATACCGCGATAATTATAGTTTATTAATAAGATATTTATTAGTAATATATAAAATCTATAAATATACTAAAATAAAGGAATAGTATAACGCTACTTACTTTAATATATTTAAACCCTTAATCTTTTAAAGACTTATATAATAAGTTAAATATAACGAAAAAGATTATAATAAATATATATACTTAAATTATAAAGTTTATAAATATAAAAATATTATAAAAAAGATATAGCCGCCTATTAAATATAAGAGATAGCGTTAATTAGCGTATATAGTATACGCGATATACCCCCTTAGGGATATCGGGTTAATTCGTCCTAGGATACCTAGATATCCTAGACTATAGCGGAATTTTATATAGGCAGGCCCTATACTAAAACCGCTTAATTACGCTAGCGGGACTCGAACTATAGGCCTTTCGGGTAGTGCGCTAGGCTAGCTAAGAAGTGCGTAGTGCCGGGAAGTTCGGAGGTAACCCCTCGCCCGGGCTTATAACTATCACGAAAAAGATATAGCCGCCTATTAGATATAAGCGATAGCGTTAATTAACGTATATAATATACGCGATAAAAAAAGCATAAGTATAGTATAAATAATATAACGGTATATTAAAAGATTATTAGTAATATATATAAAGGCTATAAGCCGTATTTAACTAAGGAAGAATCGATATAAAAATACTATATATAAAATAAAAAGATATAAAACGAAAACTTAACCTTTAGTATAAAAATAAATAGAATTATAAAGTATAGTATATAATTAACTATAAAGTAGTATAATATAAACGATATAGCGTTAAGAAATAAGAAATCTTTAATTAGCTATAAGAAATTAGTCTCTTAAGCCTTAATATAATACTATATAATAAAAATATAAAGAAATAATATTAATAATAAATTAAAGAAGAATACCTAAATAAAATAAATAAAGACTAAGTAAAAAATAAGGTATACTATTTATAAAATAGCTATAGACTAGTATAATATAATAAGATCTAAGGACCTTATATATAGTAATAGTAAGCTATAGTAACTAAATAGTATTAGATATCTAAATTATAGAATATTATATATATATACTTTTAGATTATAGTATAATAAGTAATTATATTTTACTTAAAGTTATTAGTCGTTACTAACTTATATAGAGATATAAGAAAGATCTATATAAACTTATAAATATTAAAGGAGAGGCCTTTAACTATAATAATAGAATTATTAATATAGAGATTAATTACCTTAATACTAATATCTAAGGCTATAATAAATAAGTTAACTTTAATATTATAGATATTAAAAAATATAACCTTATATTAAAGCTTCTATAGCTATAAGAGAGCAACCTATTAATTAACTAGAAAACTAGCGAGCTATATTAAAATAAAGATATAAGTTTCTAGGACTAGTAAATTTAAAAGAAAGTAAAACTTTATAATAATTTAGCTACTAAATAAGATAAAAAGGATAACTATTTAAGTAAATTATTATAGGCTTTAGTAATATAAATAAAAATAGTAACTAAATTAGTAAATATAATAAAATCGATAAATAAGACCTATATACTAACTAATATAGCTATATAACCTAGTATCTAATATAAATAGAATAAAAGATATAATATAAAGATCTAAAGAGTTATTACTACTTTAAGGAAAGACCTTAAATAAATTAATAAAGAGCTTAAGATAAGAGAAACTAGCTCTTAAAAGAAAGAATAAAGCCTATAAGATAGAATAAAGAATATCCCCTAGGAATACTAAAAATATAATAAACTTTTTAAGAAAGAACTTAAAATAAGGTTACTTAAATATAGCTAATAAGACTATAAAATTTATCTTAAGGATAGAATAACACCGATATTTTATAAGATCTATAACTTAAAGGAAAAGTAACTATAAACGCTATATAACTACCTTAATAAGAATCTATAAAAGGGATATATATAAATATAAATATCTAAAGTAAGCTACTTAGTTATATTTATTTTAATAAAAAATAGTAAGCTATAACTAGTTATTAACTATAAACGCTTAAATAATATTATAATAAAAGACTAAATACTATTACTAC